TTTCTTTTTTACAAAAATAATTTTTGTTTGTTTATTTTCCTGTGATTTTTTAATTTTTATTGTTAATTTTTTAAATATCGTTAGAAATAGAAATATCGTTTCAAAAAAAAAGTGGAACTAAAGCACCTACTTTTTTTTCAACAGAAAATTTTAAATAATTAGTTACTATAGAGGTTTCAATAGCTGAAATATTGTGTACGTTTTGAATATCAAATTATCGCATTTTAGTTTAGGGGACGGGGTCGATTTAAATTAAATTAATAATGTTAAGAATGTTAAATCACAGTTTTTTTTATGTTTTAAAATTTTTGTAGAAAACAATCGTTGACATTTTTTTCGAATCATCAAAAAGCAATCAAAGAAGCTGAAAGATATGTTAAGATAATAACGATTTGAATAATAGGGACTGCAGCACAATCTCATGGTCTGTGAATTTACAATGAAAATACTCTTCAAATGATTGAAGTTAGAAATCCTAAAGACCAACCTATAATTTTTTATCACACACAGGATTAGGCATTAACGGAACATGAAACTCAGAAAGATTTAAATTCGATATAAATATAATGTAAATGCCGTAATTCAAACATTAAGAATTATCTGCAAATATGATTGATATCTTGAAATCTTCAAAACTCTTGAAAAACTTTTAGCAAAAGATACAGTGAAACCCTTAATAACGAATACATCGAAAGAATTCATCAATGTCGTATTCTTCACTTTTTGATAATGGAATGTTGCAGATATTTAGTTTTTTAATTAAATGATTATATGGAACTCTTTAAAACTGTTCCCGCATATTCATGGCTATTTATTTATTTTCGCAAATACTGAAATTTACGTAATATAGTATAAAACTCATTGAAAAATTGCCAAGACGACATTTGATAAATTCTTCTGATGTATTTGTTATTAAGGGTTTCACTGTAAAAAAATTTCCGTTGTTGGTCATTCAAAAGATAAAAAATTTAAAATTCTATTAAGTTATCATCAATAAATAAACTAATTTGTATATTTTTACTGTTTAGTTTGATCGAATGATTGAGTTTGAACCAGAAGAAGAGTGCAGAAGAGTGTTTTCTCTTCTTTTGGTCATATTCTCTTTTATCCTCGGATTCCCAGTATATTACGTAGTTTCCAAAGGTTTGTCATGATTATCTATGCATTTGGCATGTTTGTGTAGCAGTGACCTGCCATGCCAAGATGGTAATGCCCGATTTACAACGGTACCCTTAAAAGCTTTGTCTGATCAAGTACGAAAAAGATATTCAATATTCATGTTTTTAAATCTTTCAACTGTTTATTTTCATTTTCGGTTTATCTGTGAAAGTGACTTGCGGATTTCTTGATTATGAGAAGCAATGGAGAAACAGAAATAACCACTTTTTGAATCAGAAAAACTACGTTATCTTCCACATTTTTGATCAGATTTATAGGTTTCAATTGGGAATATCGTTATAAATTGGGCAAATTAAGATTACAGTCCCTTTAATAGAAACAGACTGAATTCTTTTATTTTAGATTATGTTTCTCCTCAAGTTGCATTCTACAGTGGGTTGGCTCAATCAGATGTACAACCACACCCCTACCTAGTAAGCTTTATTGCTACATGGCTTGTTTGTGGCTTGGGGACAGTAGGACCTTACTTCTATGGAAGATACCACCTTAAGAGATATCACTCTATTAGGAAACCCCTTAAAAATTTTTAATCAATTTATTATTTTCCTTAAAGAGGCTGTTCTCGTAGTTTCAAATGACCCTCCATGCAAGTATGGCAATGCAAGATTTACAACGATACCCTTTGTCTGACTCTGATCAAGTATTAATTAGATATCAATTTTATATTTTAATGTATACTCTGTTTATGTAATCAAAAGATATTAGAACTCAGTCCTACAGGTGCATTGAAACTGAATCGGCTCAAATAATACATCCTGAGCTGGGAACTTTAGAATGGATAACCTTTAATCCCAACTACTTAATCCGAATATCCACTGTGGAAACTTTTAATTTTAGTCCTTAATCCACTCTTTTTCTCTCTCTTTGGATATCCGTACATTCCTTTCTCCAATGAGAGTGCAGGAATTATAGTTCGTAAATTGTATTGACCAATGTATTAATAAATAAATGGGTGAGAAATTAAGTGAAGGCCCTTCCAGTAAAGAAAACGAACAAATCTGGAGTTCCTAGAATCAAAATTGTTGATCTAAATATTTAATCCTGAGACTAACATAATCTCGAGATTATGTTAGTCTGGAGATTAGCAAAAATATAGGATTAAGCATTAATCTCGATAACCACCATTCTAAAGTTTCCAGCTCTGATCAAGAAGCTGCTACGATCAGCAGCTCTCGGCGCGCTCTTCATGGCTAACAGCTGGCTCATCTAAATCCAAGAAAATACAATTTAACTTATAATATGTAGAGTCTTTTCGATTACTTTCCTATCCAAGGTTTGATGAGTCTTCAATTAGAAACGAAGACAACAAAGGCAATAAAAACAAAATTGAAAATAAAAATGAAAATGAGAATGAACCAGTGCATGTCAATGACAACTGATAAAACGATTACTGTGTATTTTGTAGTAATAAGAGTAGAGTGTCAAGGTTATTTTAATTATGGTTTCTCTACAACAATGGTTTGCGCATTTATTCTGCAGCCTGCAGAATATTAGAATTTAACTATTCTATAACCCTAAAACACGTTAATATCCTCCATGTTATTGATCAGGGTTTCAAGTTTTCAAGGGTACCATTGTGAATATAGCATAGCCATCTTTTCACAGAGGGTCATTGGAAATTAAGCTTACAGTCCCTTTAAGTTAACATCAAGTGAACTTTAAACTCTTACTGTAAAAATCTACCCAAAAAAAGGTTTTATTTTTACTCTAATGGGTTTATACCTCAGTTCAATGTCTGAGAATGTGGACTCAGCTAAGAACATGATCAACATGAAATCTGTCATCAAAACCGTTATTTCGACCATCTTCATTGTCATTTCAATTGTATTGCTTCGCCGCTTCACTGATCAATCAAAGATGCCCTACAGTTTGATACTAGGGCTGACAGTGTTCACTATGTATTTAGTCAACTTTGCTCAAAGTCCTAAAATCAAAGAATTCTGGAGGCACAAACTTTCCCAGAATATGACTAATTTCCGAGAAACTTTGATCGCAGTCAAATCGCGAGTTTTACAATTAAAAAGCAACCAAGTAGGTGTCCAGGTCCACTGTCCAGCTCGTCCAGCACAGAATGTTGTTTAAATGAATTTTTGTTTTAAAAAGTTTATGATGATTTTTACATCAGGGTTACCCACACAGGAAGATACTGAAGAATCGACTGTACAGAATGTGTAGTGATATTTCCTGATATTCATTATTCCTTGCAACTACAATCTCATTTCTTTCTTTGTCCAATCAATAAAAGGGCCATAAAAAGACCATACATTCAAAATTCTTCTGGTCGTCTTTACTGCAGTCTCATTCTTTGTGAGATAACCCTATATGTTAAGTATGTATGTATTATAGCTGTGTTAATAAATAAATGTTTTAGCTAAAATTGAATTAACTTTTTCAGTCTGAAGCAAGTTGTTAACAAAAGAATATTGACAATCTTATGTAATAAAACGAGACATTCGTATATATATGTTATGTTCCCTCTGGCCGGCCAAACAGCTGGACCGAATGGCCTGAAATTTTTTGTAGACACTCATGGGTAGCCTGGGGGTGACATAGGCTAAAGAAGGCTTCAAAATCATTTATTTTTTAATTCTTATTTCACGGGTAACGCCGGGCCCTGATTATTTTTTCAAAAGGAATATTTCTCGAGTCTTGAAATTAAATATCACGAATCACGATTCTGAAATTCCAGTCTTAAATGTCTAAATTTATGTCTAAGCCTGTTTTTGGTGACAAAATTATGTCTAAGACGCTTTCTAAGTATGAAATTATAAATCACAATCATTTCAAAGTCGCATTTTTCTTGTTTAATTTTGCAGTTTAAGAGTATGACTTTAATACGATTGTGACTTTAAGAAGGATGAGATAGATGAGAGGGATTAGAAGGATGAGAAGGACGATGATGTGAAGTATGAATTATAGGATAAGAATGATGAGAAGGATGAGAAGAATGAAAAAAATGAGAAGGACATGAGATTGAGAAGGTGTGAAAGAGGAGAAGCTTTATGAGAAGGATGGCGATATCAACTTGACATTCTCAAAATATGCTCATTACAGTATTTACCATCAAGCTCTCTTCTTAAGATGTGGAATAACCTGCCTCTTGACTTAAAAAGAAGCAACTCTCTAAGTATATTTAAAAATAGACTACTAAATTCTCTATTTGAAAATTATAGGACAATGTGTTATAAACCGAATTGCTTTTCATGTAAAACTAATTAGATATGTTTTAATATGCTTTGATATTTGTTGTGTACATGTCAGAAAATTACTTTAAACTCTAGTTATTCGAATTAATGTCTAAACTATTTTGTATAAGATAAATTCGCACCCTGATCTCTAATCGTTCTTCTTAAATCTATTTAATTGAAATGTTTTGTTATTATTACTAAAATTAGGTGGAAAAAATAATCAAAACAGCCAAGAGCTATTTTCCACCTAATTGCTTTATACTTGTACTGTTAATATAATCATCAATTTGTAATTGTAAACTCTATCTGTATACAGATACATTTATTTTAGCAATAAACTTTATCTTATCTTATCTTATCTTATTACACCCCTCAGGGTACCCATTTCTTAAAGACGACATTTACTCCCTTTTATACAATCAGCTGATACTTTGAAAGTTTTGCGCGGAAAATTATGAAATTTCAGCGGCAACTAGAACAATTACAAAATAAAAATACATTTCAAATAAGAGTCAGTTTCGAATTAATAACGTTCCTTCAATACATCAGACTATCATTGAATCGCACTTTAGTTTCATTGAACACATATTGGGGCTCAATCTCAGAAAAAAAGATATTTTTATTTTCTAATTCAATTTTATGGTCATGTCGTCAAAACGTACGCGTTTTTATTTCAGACAATTCTAAAACACGGCAATGGAAGATGAGGATGAAAAGGTTGCTTTGAGGTACTTATATCCTAATTAATAATTAATTATATAGGGTGTCTAAAAGAAACGGGAAATAAGGGTCTACAGACTCGTTTGTAATAGAATTTTCAAGGTTGAGACCAGTTTAAAAAAAAATCTATTTACAATATTTCCGATTCATAAAGTTTGTAGATCTAAAATAAAAATTTTAATGCTCCTAAAGTTTCCAACTGGAGTGAGTTATTTGGTATAAATAAGATAATCTCCGTATACACAATTTTGTATAAGGCTCTATAGACTTGTTTGTAATAGGATTTTTACGTACAATTTCTCATTCAATGAGTCCAATTTTATGAAAATAACAATTTTATAGGCTCCTCAAGTATCCTACTGGAGCGAAGTACAAAGAGTATGATAATCTCCGTTTGCTCAATATTATATTCAATATTAGATTACAGATAATACAATACAATACAATACAATACAATACAATACAATACAATACAATACAATACAATACAATACAATACAATACAATACAATACAATACAATCAAAAATCGTTCACTAGGACAGACCCGAATCGGAAATTGTTCGTAGATGTGCGTAGATATCAAAAATGGCCACAATCTTGAAAATCGGATTACAAACAAGTCTGCAAAGACCCTTATGTTCAAATGGAGATTATCTTTATTTTTAACAAATTTACTCACTCCAGTTGGAAACTTTTGGAGCCTTTAAAATTGTCATTTTTAGATTTACAAGCCAAAAATTTGCCTTTTTGAATCGGAAATTGCAAATAGATGTTTATAATGGTCTCAATCTTGAAAATACGATTATTCCCCGTTTTTTCTTAAAGCCTCCTGAGGTTCTAAGAATTTTAGTTCATTCAAATTTCATCCCGCTTTTACGGGGATCGGTAATTTTTAGAAATGACAATTACGTGGAATCATATAGTGTACTTCTAATGAAAACTTATTACCTCTGTATTAAAACCTTTTCGAAAGAAATCATTTAATTTTTCTCAGAGATCTGAAAGGTTTCCTGGAATTCAAGCTTTATTGTGAAATAAAAAAACACTAAACAAATTATAAGTTGCGATGAATTTTTTTGAAGTATGTTCGAGTTTTGCAGGCCCGTACCTAGGTATATAAAAAGGGGGGTGGCACAAAAGTAAAAAATAGTATATATAGATAAGATAATAGGTAAGATAAGTAAGAGAAGTAAGGGGCGCGATGCAGAATGAAGAATAAAAAAGATAGAATTTTAACTTATCCCACATTATAGTTTATTAAGATAAATATTTTGCCTGTTTTCTTTCCCTTAAGTGCTAATGAGAAGCTATTTGCAACAAATCAAAAAAAAATGTAGGTTTAAGATGTAGAAATTTGAGTTTAATTATAAATAAATGTACTAATGAAATGCCGGTAAAGATCAGGAAAAGCTCAAGTATGAAAATCTTCCGTTTTCTCGAACCTAAAATTAGAAATAAACTCCCCATGCAATAATAGGGATGGGAAATAGCCAGATTCGACTTTTAGAATGTTTTACAACAATAGGAGAAGGTTCCAAGATTTAAAAACTTTATTCTGTAGAAGTTTGTTTTTATCAAACATGCAAATGTGTTACCCTAGAAGAAAAAATGCGGCAAAAACTATCGTTTTAAAACGATAATTTTGGGGTTTTTAAAACGATATTTTCATGTTTGATAAAAGCAAACCTCTACAGAATACATATTTAAATCGTTGGAACTCCCTCAGACTGTCGTAAACCTTATAAAAGTCTAAAAATATATTTTTTTAAGTTTCTGTAAAATGAATCTAGCTATTACCTATCGCTTAGTACAAACAGCTTCTCCTAAACCTGGCCATATTTTGTATAAAATTGAAATTTTCTCCAATTGCTTTTCAAAATAAAAAAAATTATTTAAACCATATCATTTCACAAGACAGGATAGAAAATAAAAAATCCCAAATAATTAATTTCAGAAAGCACTCAATTTTTCTTTAATTTGAAGAAAAAATAACCCTACACACCTAGTACTATAAACAAAAATTAATTGTATGCTGATTTTCTCCCCTTTTTTCCGATTTTCTTTCATTTTCAGTTTTCTTTTCATTTTCTTCTTTTTCTGTCTCAGAAAGTGTGCCCCCTTCGGGATCAAAATGGAGGGGGGGGGGGGGTACCTGCCCCTGTGGCCCCTTCGCTACGGGCCTTAGTTTATGAATTATTTACATATCTTTTAGATTTGTTATTCCGACCGGGGAATCGGAGCTGACAGTGTCAGGTGAGGGTTGTTCAGCCTTTGCTGACGTTATTTCGGGTAACCCCCTACTAAAAAGATTGGCATGTCCGATTTACAACGGTACCCTTTAAAGCTGTGTATAATCGAGAACAATTAAGATATCCATGTGATAACTTCTACATAGATAAGAGATACAGTGGAGGATTTTTTTGAAGTTTAAACTTTTCAATTTATAAAAACGACGATATCTTCTATATAATTTATCCTATATTTAGGAGTTAAGGATACTGTTGTGAATTGGGCATGCCCGTCTATTGTTTACATGGGGATCACTTAAAATGAAAACGACATTTCCTTTAAGAAAGGGTTAATATGGAGGGGGGGGGGGGGTACAATCACATCCCCGTGTAATGTGCAGTGTGCACCAACTGGCAATAATCAAATTATCTCAATCTTGATTATGCCTTCAGAATACAGATATTTACTGGTTATATTGAATGAGGGAAGGATTCAAACTTTTTATCCCTTGATCAAGTTAAATTTGGAGTTATTCTACAGGTTAATAGTTTTTAATATCGTATCTATTGTAGATGGAATGGTTAACGCCTTCCAACTGTGCTCGGAGCAAGGTTTTGAACCGACCTGGATCAAGGAGAACAAACTACTGGAGTTAAACCCTACCAAGACGGTAACCTTTATCCAGGGGGACCTGGTGAGAATATGAGCCCACCGGGCCCACCTTAACTACAATTCTTTCTTGCGGTGCATATTTTGTGGAAAATTATCCCCCACCCCATTTTTAAAAAGATATTTCCCCCCCATATACTAGTTGTGTTTTTTTTTCAGTGGTTTATTTGCTAAATTGGAAAAAAAAATTTCTAGAGGAATAAATGATTTTCTGGGTATAAAATTTCCAAAAGGATGAGGGGGGGGGGTGTAATTCTAGAAAATAAATCCCCCTGATTTTTTCCTAATACAACTCCACCCTTCACGTCTAGAATCTAAGTTTTTGAAATAGACAGGGTGTATATTTTCAAACGAAAAATCGGACATTTTAAGGCAAGTCTTTTTTATTCTTTTTGATACTATTTACTCAAAATTTTATATATTATCCCCTAAAAAATCATTTACTTTCCCCTATTTAGCGAAAAAAAAAAAAGGATGTATAACTGTGGAAAAAATAATGAATTTCGAAAGGGGAATTTTTTCCAGAAAATAAACACCCCTGCATTTGGGGAACAAATTGACAACAGTCAACTTTAAACTAAATATAAAACAATGTCTTAAGGATTGAAGTATTTCATAGAACTAAAAGTAGTTGTTAAGTTTTTTCTTGTCTTCAATATATAATAATTAGAAATTGTTTTTAACAAACGATGGTGAGAAGAAGAATAAAAAGAATTTTGTTGTAATTTTTAGAGACCTTCGTTGCAAGAAGGACATGTTTAAACTTAGAACAGTGTTATTCTAACCGTTATCTAATCAACAATGTGGAATATAATGTCGTTTTCTAGCTTGATAGGAAAGTGTTTATTTCTGGCGATTTCCACAAATGTTTCTGTATTATAAATCAGCAATCAGCATGCCATCAGTTGGTTCCATGTCGTATTTCTTCTCCAATTTTTCAATTATTTCTTCCTTACAAGTGAAACCACGATTGAAAATAATGAATTTTCAAAGAGTGAATTATGAACCATTAATTCATGACCAGTCAAGAGTCATCATATGAAGGGTCACCTGAAATTACTCTTATAAGGAAACATGTTGCATATTGTACTGTGCATGCTAAGCTCCTCTTATTGATTACCTGATCTTTAATATTTATTGAATAATTAAATTATGAAAAATTAAAAATGAAATATTTTCAGGATGTGTTTGTTTTTGATCCTTTCGAGGGACCGGGGTTTGAACATCTTACAAAATCTAACAAGTATATTTTTCATGAGGGGTTATAAATTAATATTGTTATTTATATTTATGTATTAGTTATTAAATCTTTTTTTCTGAATGATTTTTAAGGATAATCTTTTTGTCTAGAATTTTTTTTAATAAAATGACTTAAAATTTTCCATTTGGAAAATGAAAAATAAAAATCCTTTTTCTAGTTGAACGGGAATTGATACTTTTATCAATTTACTAATTATGCCTGAATGCCTCTTTTTGATGAATACATATTACATATTCATCCTTTTAATACATTTAATGAAACTAGTGTGTATTTTATCATTAATGGTCAACTCATGGTAAAATTCATTATTGAATTTCTAAGTTGCCATAAGCTTTAAGTTTTAATTGATTTCTGGATTTTCTCCCAAAAAAAAGATAATATTAAAATAATTTTTTCATTTAAAATGAAAATAAAATTGAAGTTTTATTTGATATTTCTGTTTTGTTCAAAAGCTTAATTAGTGTGTCCAGAAATAACAATTGCATCATGATCAGTACTAACACATTTCATAAAATTACTTACATCACTTTTATTTTGGAACAACGTTTTATAAAGTTTATCCGGACTGAAATTTTCTCTGTATCTCGAAGGTTACTTTGTTAAATCGCTTAAACATTCTCGATTAAAAGAAAATTTCTGTTATAACATTACAGCACTGCGAACCAAATAATGGTGTTAAAAAATATAAACATTAATGTTTTATAGGTTTAAATGTACTGTAGTTGGACCAATGTGTTTAATTCCTTGTGTAGAGGAGAACTCTCCTATACCTAACCTGCCCTATCCTATGTACAGTACAGCAATGAAGGTGTGTAACCTGCCCTATCCTATGTACAGTACAGCAATGAAGGTATGTAACCTGCCCTATCCTATGTAGAGTACAGCAATGAAGGTATGTAACCTGCCCTATCCTATGTACAGTACAGCAATGAAGGTATGTAACCTGCCCTATCCAATGTACTGTACAGCAATGAAGGTATGTAACCTAGGATAGGTGGCTTATCCCTAAAGAATCAGTTACGGCACTAAATGTCTCAATGACCCCTTGGTAAGAAAGGAAAGGACAATTTGGATTTTTCCTCAAAGCAAAAGATAAGCGTGAGAGATGTGGAAAGCCTTATAAAGACTGATGGGCACGGGAAATGTCGGTTATTTCTGGTATTTTCTTATATTTTTTATGTTCAGGGGTTGTGGATAACAATCTCAGGATTCCATAAAGATGAGAAGGCTGAGATCCAAACTTTAATAGAGAGGATGTCAGGAATGTATTCGCCAGGTTAGCAGATTCTGTTCTAATCTGGTGTATTTATTTTCAAGAATTATGCGCTGACCCTCCGGGGGTAAATGTGTTTCGATTCGTCGCGCGAAGGGGAGACGAAATATTGAACATCTATAGGCAAGTTTATTAACCCAAAAATTCATTTCTTTTCCTATAAAAATCATTTATTTTTCATAAATCATAGTTAAACCCCCTAAAATTCTTGCCTATTATCCAGGGGGAAATTTATTTTCTAAAAGAAATTTTCCTTTTGAAACTTCTGACACGAATTCAAATGTATTTTTGGCCAGGAAATCAATAAACTTTTTCTCTCTTTCCTAATAGAAAAAACGCGTTCCGTTGGCGGGACTATCTATGCGTTTTCATGATCACCATATCAGATTACACCCCAACAAGTTTTCTACTTTTTTGACATTTTACTACATCGCAAATACCATTATGTTGTACAGATTAAGCAGATATTTTTTCCAAAAAAAACTTTCCGTTAAGAGTGCTCCAATAAAAAATTCCGCGGGCAACAAAGATGATATAGAAGTCTTTGATTAATTCCAGTGTTTATTGGGACACCCTGTATCTAACGAAGTAAAGAAAAGCGTTAAAAAAACTCCCTGTTTACTCATTAATTTTGAGGAAAACTTTTTTTCAGTACTTCATGACGGTGTAACACATATCATCTCGAGTAAAGTGAATAGTGAAAAATATAAGGTAAAATAGTTAATTAATTTTTACACTCAATTGATTTATTTCTAGAAAAAAAATTTATTCATGAAATTTTTTCAAGTTTATAATTTTGTTCTCAAAACGTAAATTTAGTGTAGACTAGAGAGGGATCGGTATAACTCTTCTGATCTTAAAGGATTCAATTAATCGAGTTCCAGCATTAAAAAAGCGTTGGAGATATGAAAATGTTGCTTTTGTAAACTGTTAAGTAAATAAGATAAATCTTCGGATTAGCATCAGGATCCTGCTTCGTACGGAGCTGGGAACTTTTTTTTGTTTCTTGTTTCTCTGTTTTTTGTTTTTTTTTTCTTCTTGATGCAAGGCTGTGAAACTAAAAATCAACAACCCAAAAATATGTCTGCTCTTCAGGTAGCTGTGAAAATCCCAATCCCAGTTATGACAAAGGAATGGGTTTACGAAGTCTGGAAAGCGTGCAAAAGGTAAAATTGCTAGCAAAGCTTTTCGTTTTTTTAACAAAAATAATTTTAATATATTACACACAACCAAGAGAAGAAAATGTGCTTCTTGTGTTTCTGAGTCCGGGCACTAATAAGGAGAAATAATGAATTCTCTGTAAAAGAGTCTTGCTGTTTAAAACAGTTTATGCAGTAACATTTACCAGGTTTTGGAACAGTAAAACAACGATATCCTCTTCATTTTTGCCCAGATAAAGATTTAAAGGGTACCGTTGTGAATCTGACGTACAATTTTTAAATAATATCCATATTCAGAGGAACTGTGTCTGCGGTGGATTCTCGTTTTCTTCAATATATCTGCCCTGCTCTGCTTGGATTAACAGGTTTCAAATTTTTTAAATTCATCTCCTGCCATTGCAAGTCTAATACTTGATGCAAACACTGAACTAAGAAAAGCAGCAAAATGGTTTCAAGCAAATCGTTTGACACTTAATGTCTCCAAAACAAAGTATACACAGTATTTAGAAATAAAAATATGCACGTGGACTCCAACAGTTTTAATATATATTAATTGGAAATGAGATACTTGAAAGAATTGGTAATGGTAATTTGTTGGACTTAAATTGAGGAATTTTAACTGGGATTTTCAAATTGAACATATCTAGAATAAAATTGCTAGCTCAATCTTTGCTGTGTCTCAAATTAAGAATATCTTACAATTAAACATTCGTCTACTTGTTTATAACTCTCTTGTTAGGCCTCATATTGAATATGTAACTGTTTCTTGGGGAGGGGTTAAAAACTCTAAAACTGCAAAAAAAATCAGATCTTTGAAAAAAAATGCAATCAGAGCGGTTGATAATAGTACTTTCAAGGCACATTCAAATCCATTATTTTCAAAACTGAAAGTTCTTAATCTTGATAATACATACAAACTTAGTGTTCTGACATTTATGCATGGATACTTTCATGATAACCTTCCCTCTTCCTTCCAAAATATGTTTAAGTCTCTAGCTTAACCGAATAGAATTAAATCATATAGATCAGAACGGGCTTTCAACAAAAATCTAGAAAGCTTTCCGTCCACAATGTTTCCTAAATTGTAAAATGCAATTGAAATTGACCTTAAAGAAATTAAATCTGCAAAAATATTTAAAGACAGAGTAATCAATTTTTATCTTGAGAATTATGAGAGGTATAAATGCGAAAGAAAAAACTAGTTGTATATCATATGAGTAAATTTTATATATATAAAAAAACTTTAAAAAATGAAACTTTATTAGCTTATTTGTGTTTGTGTATCCACCATCCTTAACACCCTGTATTTTAATATATCTCTACATTAATCCCTCTGATCTCACCCTGCCACAGATCACCTGAAAATCTCCTTCCTTCCTATCAACTCCTTACCTATTCAAAAACATAATTTGATGTGTGTAACCAATTATATTCAGTATCGTTAACTAACTTAGGGCCAACCACTCAAAACAATCTACCCTGGTTAGGCGGGTCCAAACTGCTAAGTAAATTGGGATTGCTTTTTTGTAATATCTCATGCTTACAATGTCGTTGAATAAAAATATGAATATGAATGAATCTAACTACAATATATGGAACATTTTAATGAAATGAATACTGCAATTCTATTAAAATGATTTTGTATACAATTTTGTATTATCTTGTTTTAATTTTTTTAGAGATAAAATGCTAAAAAGTATATTAAGAAATGTAAAATAATTGTCATTGTTGTTTTAGTGACCGTATCCCAGCTCTCTAAGGTGGATAGAAATGCGATAAAAAAGAAAATAGGTGATAACTAGATCTTTTAATTAATTCTAATTCAAGCAAAGGTTTTAAAAAAAAATTTCTTCTCTTGTATAAATCGGGGTCCGTATTTTCTTAAAGATTACTCCGTCCCTCTCCCTGAAAAATCACAAAATCCAGTTTTGAAAAAAGTATCAAAATGGTAAATGTGTTGGGGGGTAACTTGCACACTGATTACCCAATTTTTATTCCCTTTCAGCTTTTTAATTTATTCTTTCTCGTTCTTGAAGTATGGGGTAATTCTTGAGATTGTATACTCGAGGAGTTCTCGTTACAACTTTAGAAAAAATTCTTTTAATCAGCGACCAAATTTCAAGAATTTAAGCTAGGTCGCTCAACTACCTTCTGCATGCCGGTGCAAAGAATCACCAATTCTTGGTTAAAGATTAAATGTTAATCAATAAAGATTTGTACCGGCAATAGGTATTTCAGCGAACTCTCCAATTCATTAAATTCAGTCCTAAGTTTTATAAAAAATATGTTGCTAGAAACTCATGGTGGATACTTCTTGCCCGAGCTGACAATGGATGAAACAGATATTCTTATCTGTGTCTCAGGAGAAGGTACATTCAAACAAAATATTTTTATTTAGTTTCAGAAAAAGTATAAAATTTTATTTATTAATGTAATTAAATCAAAATAATCTCTTTAGTAAATCAAAATGATTAATATGAAAGGGATATTTTTTCACACCTTTTCACTATTAGCTTAAAAGTCATAGTTAACACTAGGGATCATTACCCGCCCCTTACACTAATTCAAGTCTTAAAAATGAACACTTTAAAATTATAGTCAATAAGACACTAGGGATCTTTAGGTGGCGTCTGTTACACCAATTAGAGTTATAAAATGTAGATGTTAGATCAGGCTAACATTCACTTCATTCACTTCCAGGTTCAGATCTGATTAGGCACACGCTGATACCATGGACTCACATTCTTATCCGAAACCTCTTTTAGAAGTGATTCAAGCTAATATAAGCCTGGTTTTGCACCAACCTGGAGCTAAAGGGATATTATTTTTCAAAAACAAGCACAATTTCCCCAGTCAAAACTTCCCCAAGAGCAATTTCCCCAACCGCTAATTTCCCCAACACTAACTTCCCCAGTCCCTAATTTCCCCAACAGCAACTCCCCCATCAGTTGAATCCTTTCCGGGAGATTAAAGAATTCTTGTGCTGACTCAGAAACTTTTAGTCTCTCAGCAGTCAGCAGCAACCAGAGAAACACTTCTGTTCATTTCTGATGGTTTACCAGAACCGACCTGCCTGGAATATCAGGGTTGGCCACAGCATTGCTAATATGCTGTTTTTAATTGGCGGAAGCTCCACACTTAGCAATTGCATGGTTTATATTATTATTATGGTTGGTTGGAAAGTATGATTTAGTTTTGTCCCCTGACATTAATTGTAAGTTTTACTCATCCACCATTACATTTCTCTTATTCGTGGCTTTGTATAGACTGCTAGCATGACGACTCTAATCCAACTGATTGGGGTTTTCAAATATGAAAAGTTTCGAATTTTTATCTTCAAATTGCGCAGGTGCCCATTTGAATAGTGTTAAAAAGGGAAATGTTTAACATTTTACTGCATGGTGAAATTGTTATTGGGGAAATTGCTATTTTTACTGCATGGGGAAATTGTTGTTGGGGAAGTTTCTGTTTTTCCTGCAAGGGGAAATTGTTGTTTGGTGAAGTTGCTGTTATGGAAATTAGTGATTGAGGAAATTGTTGATGGGGAAATTGGCTGTTGAGGAAATTGGCTGTTGGGGAAGTTGTGACTGGGGAAGTTGCGCTGGGGAAATAACCTTACACCTTCTGAAACATAACGGCCATTAAATATTGTTAGGCTAGGCTTATTCATATAAAATCTAATACTTTATAACTTAAATAAAATTCTTGTTCTCAGTTAAAAGTGATCAGTAGATAGTTTTCTCAGATAAAATTCTCAGCTTTACAATTAAATGTTTAAAAAGAATATTAGGAGAACGAATTATTTCTTCATTAACACTCGCAAAGTCTCCTAGTTCTGCATCTCGTGAATCAACCTAAACAATATTTATATAAAGATCCTCAGATCTTACAGTTTATAGTAGAACAAAATAATATTAGAAAAAAAAGATAAACCATTTCAGGTCCTAAGTTCGAATTTGCTCAGAAATGGAAAATTCCTTGTCTAAACATACAATGGATTCTACACAGTGTAGACAAGGGAACTGCATTACCAATGGTAAGTAGTATACTAAGACAAGGGATCTGCTCTACCAATTGTTAGTAGCATACTAGGTAAAGGGATTAGCTCTGCCAATGGTAAGTAGAATACTAGGACAAGGGACTCTACCAATGGTGAGTAGTATACTAGGACAAGGGATCTACTCTACCAATGGTGAGTAGTATACTAAGACAAGGGATTAGCTCTGCCAATGGTGAGTACTGAGTAGTATACTAGGCCAAGGGATTAGCTCTGTCAATGGTGAATAGTATACTAAGACAAGGGATTAGCTCTGTCAATGGTGAGTAGTATACTAGGACAAGGGATTAGCTCTGCCAATGGTGAGTACTGAGTAGTATACTAGGACAAGGGATTAGCTCTGCCAATGGTGAATAGTATACTAAGACAAGGGATTAGCTCTGCCAATGGTGAGTACTGAGTAGTATACCACATAATAGGACTTTCTGATAATAAATACTCAAAAAAAATTATTTTCCCCTTAAAATCATTTTTTTCAAATTCAAGAAATATAGCGCTAAAACATGTGTATACCTTACATTCAGTGAAAAAATGAATTCCAAAAAGTCGATGAGGAGAGGTAATATTTCAATAAATTACTAAGAACTACAAAGAACTATATATTAGGATGAGTACAGGGTAGAGCGGGAATCTAACAAGGCCTCCACACCAACGAAAGAAGATACAACTGTCACAGGTATCCTCAATAATTTATTTTACCAAAAGCTGCCCCCGTCAATTCCAAGTGACCTTTCATTAGAAGAGTTGCGTGTCCAATTTACAACAGTACCCAGTTAATTACTTATTTCTGAAAGGGGTCTGTAAGAGTAATTTCAAGTGACCCAATTTATATGCCGAGATTCACAGTAGTGCTTATAAACCTTTAATTGATTAAGGCTGGTAGACTTTTTCTTATTTGTCTATATAAACGCTTGTAATGGTTGATAACCTCGTTTGCCATCTGTTTTTTATGTAAGAAATATTAGCATTTACTTTTCAGAAATAAGTTTTGGACAACAATATTCTGGATTTTCGAGAAATTTATGGAAAGTCAGTTGCGATGAGTTCACTGCAGTTTTTGGCAATTCGGACATTCCCTTCTTCGCATGTAGGGGGGATTCAGATTACGCTGATATTTTTTTATTTTTATATTTTTTACAAATTATAAGTTTTAAGCGACTAGAAATTGATACATGTTTTAATGCAGATACTAATTTTTCCAATATGCTTCTTTTCTGTCTACCGTTTTTCATTTTATTTAACTGTGTTGTATTATTACCTGCATACCCCCCCCTAGAGGTTAATATGCACTTCTGAAACATAGTTCCATACACCACTAGTTAAAATCTTGTTAAGGTCTTGAAGAGGTTTCTATATATTGAACCCTAATGATTCAGCTGTAGTAAAATCTTATTTAGGTCTTGAAGAGGTTTCTATGTGTTCCACTATATTGAATCCTAATGATTCAGTTGTAGTAAAATCTTATTTAGGTCTTGAAGAGGTTTCTATGTGTTCCACNCAGCAAGAAGATAAAAGACTCTCCACTTAGTGGGATCATCACTTGTGTCTCAGGTCAGGAAACAAAACGAAAAATTTTATTTCTTTAAAGAACAGGTGAAAATACTCTTTTATTTGTAATAATCGAGAATTTATTAATTGTTAAAAATATTTCCAATTTCCAATTAAGATTGCCAATTTTGGGGATTAATTGCAGGGTATAACCACTATGGATATCAAAGCGAAATTATACTAATCCGTAGGTCTGAATAACATGGAGATATCAACGCAACGCATAAGTTCTGACCTCTTGACATTCTACTCCCTCTTGTGTAACTTACTCTTGAAAATATAATTATGAACTTCAATCCAGCCCTGGCTTAGTTTATTAATTTTTAGAACTGATACTGAATGTAGTCCATTCAAGTCTATTTGATATAATTCGATGATATAATATTGAACAAGAGATATTATTATTTTTATTTTTTATCCTTAGATTATTATAAAATAATCTACAGATCAGTTTCCTTATCCTTATCATCTATATGATAATGTATATAAATTATTTCCTTAGATTATTATAAAATAATCTACAGATCAGTTTCCTTATCCTTATCATCTATATGATAATGTATATAAATAGACATGTCCTCAAAGATTGATCCTTTCTTTTCAAACTTAAAGTTTGCACTGGTTGGACTTTCAGCGGAGATCGAACAGGTCAGAAATAAATGTTTTCTCCGGACGAATTAATTTGTTCTTTTTTAAACTTTTCAATGTCATTATGATGTATTAATTAATGACCTGATTCGGAATCTTAACCCAACAAGACAAAATCCAATATGTAAGCCAAATAATTGACGAAATTGGAAAACGGAAATATCTGGGAATAGCATTTTTCTTGGGAGGTCTTATCAGTATTTTTGAAACTTATGTGAAGTGGAGGTTGGGCTTGTATGGGGGCGGGGTTGGGAGGGGGTTAGGGTTACTCTTGGGGTAAAGGCAAGCATAATATCTATTTTTTAATGATTTTCTAGGAATATTTACCCCTCCTGTACAGGGTAAAGGTACCCAGGATTGGTTGGGAGAACTAGATCTGGCAAGGTAAATTAAATCATTTTATCATTTTGTTTTATTTTTAACTTTTACACAAAATTACGATAATTGCAATACATTGTTAATGAGGAATTTAGGCTTTGAAGCTTTGTGTTGGGGGAAAAAAAACAAGGCTTGAACATAATTCAACTGGTCTTTTTATATTATAAATTATAATCATATTTTAACATTATAAATTTTTAAAGCAAATGACTATTTATATTAAAGTATAACAAGTTTTCATAATATGTCGATTTTTTTAATCCTGTGTTTTTGATCAGGGTGAAAAAGAGCGGACCCTTCTTGGATAATCTCAAGATATATCTGAGTGGATTTGTGGAAACGGATCAGGTGGATATCTATCTTTTTTATTTTAAAATAGATTTCTTAATCATATATAACCTACAGTAATTCGTTCCAAAGTCTACTTAATTTTAAAACATTTTTAAATCATTACACTTGCTGATTGTGATATAGATGGTCAATTTTTAACCGTAGAAAAATGACACCCTCTTATTGCCCCTAGTACAGTAGGATGTTCCATTTTCACACAAATATTAGATTTTTGATTTACTAGGTATTTTCTCCTCTTCATATAAGTCCCCTCAGCAGAAAAATAAAAACATTTTTTGTTGTGAAGCTTCCTGTAAAAACTTTTAACTTGGCAGAAACAAACATTGTAAATCCATAATAGTTTTTTTCACAACATTTTGTTTCGAGTAAAAATATTACTTTTTAGAATAAAATCTGTTATTTTTTTAAGAACCTGATGGGGGGGGGATCAAAAATTGAAAAGCGTGCGAATGCTTAGTCATATCTTATTTTTATTATCTCTTCTTGTTAAGGTACTGTTGACCCGTGTTCTAAAGTATGCTGGAGCTACTCGTCTAGCCCAGCTAGTGGACAGTGTCACTCACGTTGTTCATGCCGTAGCCAGGCAAATATACATTTAACAGACTGCTCACATAAGTTCTCAACAGAAGTACAATTTTCATGAAAAGTAACTCCTCTCCATCTTGGAAGAAGGGGTAGGGGGACGTCAACAGAAATGTTGAACCTGAAACCTCAAGACTCATCAAGGATTTAGGAAATTATTTCTTAACACAATTTTTTAAAAGTTTCTTATTCTGCGGTATGGAGAACCGAATTTAATGAATTAGAGAGGTTGCTGAACTACATACAGCCGGTTCAAATTCTGGTGAACCTTTAACTTTGAATCGGCGATTCAAGATTTGAACCAGCGGTATGTAGTTCAGCGACCTAGCTCAAATTCATAAAATTCGGTCCCAGCATAAATATATTTAGAGCATAAATTTTTTTTTTAAATTTTAAGAAATAAGTTTTTGAAATTCGGAATTAGGTTTATGTCCGTATTCTGTATCCCTGGAATGGATTGTTGAAAGCATGAAACGTGGACAGAAGGTTTCAGAGAGTAGTTACCCCTTCCCTCCTACAGAGATTAAGGTAAGGTTTGTTTTCTTTCAGCTTCCAGGTACTGATTTAGACATTGCTTTGGATCCATTCCATTTTGACGTCAGTTTGTCAAAATTTGTCCTGTAAAAAATGGATCGGATCCAGCTCATGAAGGTTTTTTATAATATCTTATTACTTTAAACTCGAGATTGGTCAAATAATTAACTATGTTTGAACCAAGTTCTACAAAACATTAAACAGTTCTTTCTCAAAAAAAAATTCCCAAATGCAGGACGAATTGAAACCCAGTCTTGCATAAGGGAGCCTTAAGCAATCTCAAAAAATTATGAATTGATTTGATTTGAAAAAATTAATCTGGATCCAGCTTATGAAGGTTTTAATAATATCTCATTAGTTTAAACTTAGTTCTTAGAGCAAAATTTAAGATTGTAACCTAAATTCAGCTTGCTTACTCCCAGCAATCCAACAGAAAATATTGATTTATCTGACATGGTGCGCGAACCTTATACTATTCAGTTGATTGTTTAAAAAAATTTGACTACAAATTGTTCTTGTCTATATACGCTACAACAACCTCAAAATATCTATTTTATCTATTTTAGCCACCTCTAATTAAATATATATTTTCAAGGATGGAAATGCAGCTGAGAAAACATTTAGATCCCCGCAGCAGGAAACAGTTTTAGCAAAATTCGATTATTTTAGATGGATATAGCCTGAAAAGACTGTAAGCATACGGATCCCTTGAAATCTTAAATTGATCAAAAATGCGGACGGTAACGTCAATTTTCTGACTCGGAAAACTGTTTATTTCTGTTCTCCATTTCTCCATTGTTTCCTAAAGACAAGAAATGCGCAAGTAATTTTTCTGGGGAAACCTCATATGAAAATAAACAGTTCAAGAAACAGCAAACATGGATATCTAAGTCAAACTTGATTAGACCATGCTTTTAAGGGTTTTACAGCTGTCGGGCATTGTCATCTTTGCATGGAGGGTCACTTGAAATTAGGTTTACAGTCCTTTTAAATTTATATTTTTCTATTTTGAAATTAAGCCCAAAATGTTTAAACTATTGACCAGATACCGATGGGTTCTGTAGGAATTGATAAAGCGGAAGATAATATTCTAGATCAGTACAAACCAAACCAAACAGGTAATTGTACTGTACAGGGGTTAGTTATTTTTCCAAAGGCATTTTTTCAGGGGTGACTTCCCAAGTGACAATTTCCCAAGTGGCAACTTCCAAAGTGACAACTACCCAACTGACAACTTCCCAAATGTGCAAGTTCCCAAGCGGCAACTTCAAAAAAGGTTAAGTTAGGCCTTCTGAGGTGCCGCAGGTTGCAGTAGGTGCCGAGCACTGGGGCTAGGATGCGCCAGGGTGCCGAGCGTTGCGTCTAGGACAGACTTGAAAAGTGCCGCATGGGAAATTGCACATTTAGGAAGTTGCCGCTTGGGAAAAGTTCTATGGGAAAGTACCTATCATCCTGTACTGTACTGTACTGTACTGTACTGTACTGTACTGTACTGTACTGTACTGTACTGTACTGTACTGTACTGTAATATACTGTACTTTACTGTACTGTAGTGTACTGTACAGTACTGTACTGTACTGTACTGTACTGTAATGTAATGTAATGTACTGTACTTTACTGTACTGTACTGTACTGTACTGTACTGTACTGTACTGTACTGTACTGTACTGTACTGTAATATACTGTACTTTACTGTACAGTAGTGTACTGTATAGTACTGTACTGTACTGTACTGTACTGTAATGTAATGTAATGTAATGTACTGTACTGTACTGTACTTTACTGTACTGTACTGTACTGTACTGTACTGCACTGCACTGTACTGTACTGTACTTTACTGTGCTCAACTGTCTTTACTATCTTCTTCACCCTGTAGTTCATAAACATGATTCTAATAACTTATGTTACACTCTGTTCCAAACCTTACGCTGAGTATCCTCCCTTTCCCTTAGACTCCCTCACCTCCTCCTTACCTTTTTCCTGATTTATCATCATTCTTATGTTTAAAATATACAATGTACATTGTTTTTATCTGCAATTCTCATTCGTTTATAGTGGGCCAACCAATTAAAACAACCTACTCTGGTTAGGCGGGTCCAAAGAACATAGTAAATTGTGATTTTTTTATTTGTATTATCTCGTGCTTTGTAGTTGAATAAAAATATGAAATATGAAATATGAACTGCACAGCACTGCTATTTACTGCACCGTACTTTTTAAACTCCTTCTACTAGAAATAATGTAAATCAAATAGTTATTATATTTATATGATGTACTTTATGTTTTTAACCTTGATAGAAAACTATCACAAATCTAATCATTTGTTTTTTTCTGCTTCGATTTTCTGTTTTGATTTGAAGTTTATTCTAGAAGATGACAGGACGATGACCCAAGACATGTCCTCAAAGATTGATCCTTTCTTTTCAAACTTAAAGTTTGCACTGGTTGGACTTTCAGCGGAGATCGAACAGGTCAGAAATAAACGTTTTCCCTTTTAATCGTTACTTTTTCGCACATATTAAAGCTACTACTTTGAGTCGATTTTGATAATAATGAATATTACTAATATCTTTTCCCACCAAACTTCTTTCAGATTATTTTCTGTTGAAACTTTATTCTCAAACGACCAAACTTACTTTAGATTGATGATCACTTCGTAAAGAAAATATTTGCAAATTAAAGTTTCTGGATTGTAAATTAGGACAAAAGAATTGTTGTTTAAGAAAAATACGACTGGCTTGGTAGCTTGGAAAGAATGATAAATTGAAATTTAAAATGATTTTGCCTTAAAGGAAAATGTTGGTTCTTCAATGTTTTGGTTTATGTTATACCCCTTCAATCCGGATAAAATATCGTGATCCAGTGGACCGGATCCTTAACATACAAATTATGTTTTGGTTTATGTTATACCCCTTCAATCCGGATAAAATATCGTGATCCAGTGGATCGGATCCTTAACATGCACATTTTGTTTTGGTTTATGTTATACCCCTTCAATCCGGATAAAATATCGTGATCCAGTGGACCAGATCCTTAACTTACTTGTATACTTGGAGAGTAGTTGGTGTAGCCCCAACTAGGGGCATTTAGCAACATCTTTTCCACACAGTCTTCTTCTGGAGATCCTGTCATATTCTCAGTTCATCAGTTCATCTCAGAAGAAGATAGATATTGATCTAGATTTCTTTTAAATATCTTGATATTTTGGGACTCTCTAATTGTGCTGGGTAACTGGTTCCAATCATCAATGACTCTTTGGGTAATGAAGTTACTTCTGATTGTGGTGTTGCTTCTCTGTTTAGTCAGCCTGGTTCTGTCATCTGATTGTCTGGTGGTTCTCACAGATACTTGATTAACTCTTTTAAACCAGAATTCATCTCCTTCAACCTCTTAGGTTTTGTAGGTTTGTATTAGATCATATCTAGTTCTCCTTGTTTCATGGGATAGAAGTCCTAGTTCTTTAGTTTTTCAGTATATCCAACTGCTCTCAATCCACTAATCATATTCACAGGTTGTATTTGGACATTTTCTATAGACCTAATATCTTGTTGTGAGGTTGGAGCCCAGACTGGAGTAGAAAATTCTAGATGAGGTCTGACATGCACATTATGTTTTGGTTTATGTTATACCCCTTCAATCCGGATAAAATATCACGATCCAGTGGACCGGATCCTTAACATACACATGTTTTGGTTTATGTTAAACCCCTTCAATCCGGATAAAATATCGTGATCCAGTGGACCGGATCCTTAACATGCACATTATGTATTGGGTAAAAGGATTTAATTCAAAGGGTCTCTGTAGTAATCATTGCAAGAGAAACTTCATATCTAATGTGGAAGGTCCGATTATAACGGTACACTTAAGCTTAAAAGCTTTGAATGACCTAAGAGGGTAATAATAGTCGGCAAAATAGAAAATTATGGTTATGAAGACTTTCTTGATTTGCTGAATCGTTTTGCGGATTTTTTAAAGATCCCGTGATTAAAGAAATGTTATTGTTAAGGATTTAACCGAATGGATTCATGAGGTCGGAGGGGAAATAGTTTTCTCAGATTATACCGGAACTGTGGACTTCCTTATCTCTACAATCTCAGGTTATATCCATATCTGTTTGTTGGTTTGTATTTCCGATCATAACTCATGAACACCTCGACAGATTTGCCTCAAATTTTAATAAAGGAAATTGGTTAAACTCGGTTAAATGGGATAAAGCTGGGTTTCTAATTGCTAATATTTTATGAAGATCTTATTTACAAAAATTAAAGTTAATGCTCCAAAAATTAATATTGCTGCTTTATTGAAAAACTTACCTCCTTAGAGAAAGGGTAAATACGTTTTTGGATCGTTTTCCTCATATTTTTCTAGTGGGATACAACTTTTACATGGTTTAATGACAGCAAACTTTTATTGAAAAATTGAGACCAGACTGTACACTTAGGTATATCACTCTGCACACTATAACCTCGTTGGTTGGAACTTTTTAAAATTTAAAAAGTTTCTTAAAACCGAACCAAGTCATTGCTGACTAGTTTAAACAATATATGTATTTTAGGCTGTTCCACCAGATTTAAATATAAAGAGCATCTCAACTATTTGTGGGTTGAAGATTCCCTAGATATTGGCAGGTAGAGGGGGAATATGTACACTGTACAGCAATATACTCTGTACAGCAATGTACACTGTACAGCAATGTACTCTGTACAGCAATGTACAGCGGAACCTTTATTGTACTGTAATCTTTAATCGATATTATTTCATGGACAACTCAAATATAAAAAAATTGTACATAAAGAATCTTAAAAAATTTAAAATTAAATATTAAAACCTTTAGTCAGTAATGGGCTTTAATTGCGGCTTTATTTAGTAAAAAATAACTAGTAAATATTAGAATTAGATTTTTGTCGATTTTCTGAAGTTTTTAATTTTGATAATTTATTTATGTTTCCCTGCAGTAGAAATGCGAAAGTGACTTTTAGATAGAAATCACAATTGAAAATATTAAGTTATCAAAATTATAAACATGGATATTTAATTCATACTTATAAGCGTACGGTTGTGAATCGGAAATTGCCATCTTTGCAAAGAGGATAACTTTAATTACGGAAACAGTCCCTTTAATTAGTATATTTAAGAATGTTGGCACGAGAATATTACCATCTACCCCTCAGCAAGAAGATAAAAGACTCTCCACTTAGTGGGATCATCACTTGTGTCTCAGGTCAGGAAACAAAACGAAAAATTTTATTTCTTTAAAGAACAGGTGAAAATACTCTTTTATTTGTAATAATCGAGAATTTATTAATTGTTAAAAATATTTCCAATTTCCAATTAAGATTGCCAATTTTGGGGATTAATTGCAGGGTATAACCACTATGGATATCAAAGCGAAATTATACTAATCCGTAGGTCTGAATAACATGGAGATATCAACGCAACGCATAAGTTCTGACCTCTTGACATTCTACTCCCTCTTGTGTAACTTACTCTTGAAAATATAATTATGAACTTCAATCCAGCCCTGGCTTAGTTTATTAATTTTTAGAACTGATACTGAATGTAGTCCATTCAAGTCTATTTGATATAATTCGATGATATAATATTGAACAAGAGATATTATTATTTTTATTTTTTATCCTTAGATTATTATAAAATAATCTACAGATCAGTTTCCTTATCCTTATCATCTATATGATAATGTATATAAATTATTTCCTTAGATTATTATAAAATAATCTACAGATCAGTTTCCTTATCCTTATCATCTATATGATAATGTATATAAATTATTTCCTTAGATTATTATAAAATAATATTTATGTGTTAGCTATAGCTTGCCATCCAACTGGATCAAATGGGCTGAAACATTCGAGGGAAACCATGGGTGCCCGGGGAGTAAAAGAGGCTTAACAAATTTCGACATTTTTTTTATAAATATTTTTTAAACAGTTTTTATTTTAAAGATTATTCTTCTCGGGTAACGCCGGGCACTAAAGCTAGTTATTCTTATTTTAATACTTTATTGACACTGTCCTACATTAGTTCATCTCCCAGCTGCGACAGTTAATCCCCCTTACAGAAAATTATTAAATCACGTAGTAAAATGCTTTTGTATTTAGGAAGTAATTGACATATTGCTTATAGATTTTTACTGGGGAGCTTGTGACTTTTAAATCACAGTGTGTACATTTCCTTCTCATCCCAACATGTACAAGATGGTCGCATTTAAATCTAAAATGATATTTCCTCTCAAATGTCGTCTTCCTTTCAAATAATCTAATAATTAATATTTATTTGAGACATTGATAATTTGCAATGTGTTTCTTAAAATATAAAAAATATTCCTAAACTTAAACAAGTGTTATAACATTACTTTTGATGTCTAAGATCGTGTTGAAATTGTTAAGAAAAACAAGGTGGATTCACTGTGACCTACGCATGACACCCCTTGATCTCTAAGCTTTTTTAGTTTTCCTATGATGGAAATAAACGACAGAATTAAAACCTGAATTCTGAATTCCTCTTCTTAATAACATTTCTGCATTTATTCTAGGATATACCGGGAGAGAAAGAGTTTATATCAACACAATTATTGAACTTCTAGGTGGTAACCCCCAGGTAAAACCAGGGAAATTTATTTTCTAGAAAAATTATTACTCTTAGGAGTTTCATAAAGGTTAAAAAAAAACTTATCTTTTCTATTCCAATTGGTTTAATTTAACCCTCATTGATGTGAAGTGGCACGCAAGATTTTCTACGGTACCCTTTAAAACTTTCTTTTTAGATACAAAGAAAAAACATGAAAATCAACATTTTTTATCATTTTTAGTTTTCAAGAGTACCGTTATGAATCAGGCATGACCAAATAGATTGTCAAGTACAATAGGTGGCAACAGAGAAATGGACCATTATACACGACGTCACAAGTGCCAAATATAACAAGGAAAAGGAAATTTTCTCACACTAGTTGACATGTTTTCCAAGATTAAATAAAAAAGTTTAAACAGAAAATAGGGAACACATAAAATTGCACTTATGTTACTGTAAGATAAACACTTTATTCTAAAATTTACACTATTATCAATAATTTTGTCCGACAAAAAAACTGAATTGACACTTGTGACGTCAGAATACAGCTGTACTAAGAGTGTACAATCCTTCGTTGCCATCTATTGTACTAGAATCTAATTCGGCATAACCGTTTTTTACATATAGGGCCACTTACAAAAAACGACGACATTATATTTAAATGTGTGTGCAGGAAATGTTTGCGAAAAAAGATAATAAAGAAAAGAATGTAAAAGCCTCAACTCATTTACTTTGTCCTCTGGCAGAAGGTCAAAAATATTTGGCAGCACTCAAATGGGGACTTCCAGTCATCACTAAGGTATCAAATAGAAGTATTTAAAATCAAAACACACAAATTTCTAAGACNTGATATTTCTCTTTTTATTTTAGTTGTTTATCTTTATTTTGATTTTATTGTTTAATAGGACTGGTTAATGGCCTGCCTCAAGGAATCTAAATTTATCAGTGAACAACCCTTTCTTGTTGGTAAGAAATTGTAACTTCAAGGGACCTTCCATTGAAAGAAGTACATGTCAGATTTACAACAGCACACTGTTAATCTTATCAAGAATGTGGAACATATCGTCGTTTTTGTAGCTTAATAAGTATTCAATTCTGATAATTTTGTTTCATCCTATAGGCAACAGAAATGCGCAAGTCACTTTGTAGCGAATCCATAATTGAAAATATTAAAATTTTAAAAAGTTATACAAAATACATTAGGTTGGTTTATAATAAGGTCAAACATTTTCTTGACTAGAGTGGTATCTTATAAGGTGAACAGACATTTATTTTATGTATAATTTTTTCAAATTTTTTTCTTTGACAATGTTCTAGGGTGGCTTAAGGGGCTTAAAGTTTTTTATTTAGCCGTTTTTTTGCAATATTTGTCAAACTGTAACCCCTTCTTTTTACCCTTAAACATTCATAAATTCAAATTTTGTTCTTTCTATAATCTCAAAATAACTAAAATAAAAATATAAGACGGCACTCTATTGTAGATTTAAATCTTAAATGATGAATTATTTTGTGATATATTAGAATAATTAATTCAATTTAATCCTTTTTTTCAGGGGGGAGGGGCTGAAATTAGCATGAAATTTCTCATCCTCCCTCAGAGGTGTATTTAGGAGGAGGGGGCTATGGGGGCTTAGCCCCCTGGATCAGTGAAATCTATTGTTTCCAGGTTTTTTTTGGGACCCAATGGGGAAAAAATTTAGCTCCCCCTCGCCACCCTTAAACATCATAAATAAAAAAAATTTACCTCATTATGAACCAACCTAATATACATGGGTCTCATTTATTTTTGATGAGACAAAGTTGAGAAACGGACATCCCACTTTAAATATGTCGAGTCACTTCAAATTACGACTACCGTCACACCGTCCCTTTAAAATATAAGAAGGAATGAGATTTTCAGGGATCCTTCAATTATTCACAATAATGGGATCTAGTAAAGTTTCATTCTGGGTTCAGTTAAAGCCACAGACATTGATCCGAACCCGGATCCGATTTATCTACAGTGGGACCCTAAAACCCTTGGAATATGAAGACGACATTAAAGCAATCTTTTAAGTATTTAATGCTGTTAAAATGCAAATAAGTTCACTAGTAACTTGAAAATCAACTTGTTCATTAAGAGAAATATGTCTAGATACATAATTGCTGATTTTGTTGTATATTTTGGTTGTTATTTTATCACTTGGTCCCGGGTTCAAGGAGCTAAAATATTGCTAATCTAGTGTATCCAGGGATCTAAACATCCATATCCTTTACAGATAGTGTAATGTACATTTCACAAAGAATTTGTTTTCTTTCGAGATTTGCTAAAACGATAATCAGTGTGTTATACATTAAATTAATGTTTCTGTTTTCTCCTGAAAGAAAAACCCCGGATTAGATGAATACCCCTTATTTAATAAGGAAATTATATTTTTTAACAGAATATTGCTTTAACTATTATCAAATCAAACTATGATAAGAGCTCTGTAATTTCATAAATTCACGCCAAAATTCTTATTACTCAAAACTTATTATTTTTTTAATTTACCCAGGTGATTCCTCCGCCGTTACCGAGGGTAAACCGCTGCCTTCTGAAGATATTCAAGATGACACTCTTCAACACCCTCAGAATGATGCTGATGAAGCCCAGGACGATACTGTACATGAAGCCCAGGACGATACTGTACAGGAAGCCCACTGTGATTCTGTACATGAAGCCGAGAATGATACTGTACATGACGCCGAGGAGGATGATACAGTACATGAAGATGCCGTACTCCAGGGACAACTTTGCTTTATATAACCCTTGTCTACAACTTTGTTTCTATTTATCTCCTGTTTTGATTTTACGTTAAAGAATGTTTTGTCTGCATATCAGACATTTACCGTTTTAATCTCTACTCAATACCTCTTTTAAAAGAGGAGTAAAGATTGTGAATGCGTAAAATTTAGTTTTATTTGACGTAATTTAAGAATGTTCAAATGTTTTAAAAAGTACAAAAAGGATCCAAAAAAAGGATCCAATGAGGATTATTTTCTCCTAGCAAAGTTTTTAAAGCAGGACTTAGACCTAAACCAATCTGGCGCTTTATCAGGTAATAATATTTTTCTTAATTTGTCTTGGTTCCAAATATAATAACAATAATAATAATCACTCAATCTAAGATTTCAGGCTTGAGCTCCCTTCCCTTTATGTTCCAATTAATTAACCCAGTTAAGAGCTGAGTGCAAATTCAGGGGTGAGAGACAAGTCTATGGCGGTCTGCCATGGACCATTCTGTACACTCTCAGATACCTAATGATCCTTTCGGTACCATTAGTACGGCCAGATGTTCAAGATGGTTTTATAAATGAAGGACACTGATTATTGACTTCAGGGGTGTATATTAGTTGTGAGACTCATATTTTTGCCCCCCCCCCTCCCTTTCAGAATCATGTATTTCCCCACCTCCACAACTTAAAAAAAACAGGAGTATTTTACAGGTTTCTAAAGCGCGCGCAAACTTCAAAGAAGTTTGCGGCGGCAGGAGGTGGGGGAGGGGCTGCATGGGGGGCAAAGCCCAATTGCAAAGAAATTTTTGATTTTAGCCCTAAAAAAGGTCAAGGTCCCCCCTGAGTTTTTTTTTATGCATTTCTGATACTGTTTATTTTATTTTATTTTTTTGTCTGGTTTTTTCCCTTCCCTTTCCCCCTTTTTTCTTCCTTTCCCCCTTCCCCCTTTTCCTTTCCCCCTTGCCCCTTTTCTTTTCCCCTTTTCCCTTCCCTTTAGCCCCTTTTCCCTTCCCTCTTGCCCCTTTTCCCTTCCATCTTTCTCTTTTTCTCTTCCCTCTTCCCATTTTTTCCTTCCCTTTTCTGCTTTTTACCTTCCTTCTTCTCATTTTTCCTTTCCATCTTCAGTCTTCCCCTCTTCCCCTTTTCCCTTCCCTCTTGCCCCTTTTCCCTTCCATCTTTCTCTTTTTCTCTTCCCTCTTCCCATTTTTTCCTTCCCTTTTCTGCTTTTTACCTTCCTTCTTCTCATTTTTCCTTTCCATCTTCAGTCTTCCCCTCTTCCCCTTTTCCCTTCCCTCTTCCCTCTGCTTGAGTCTAAAATTTATTTGCTTGATTTGCAACTTAATTTTGAACAATTTTTTTTCTCCAGATTTATTATAAAACAAATTTACTGATACATGTATTTAACTCCCATTGCTTTTAAACACAGGGAGTGTGTCTTTTTAATCAGCTGGGGAACAGGGCTTTCCATAAAGGGCTCTGATTGTTAAGTAGGGTAGGTGTACACATTGGCTCTTTATTATATTTCCCTCTTTTTATTTTTCTTAACTTAGTACCCCGGCCGTATATACTGTATCAGTAAGATAGGAAGTAATCAAGCATGGGGTTCATGGCTGCTTGGCCTTCCCTCCCTCCAATGTATAAAGCCTTTAACAGCGCCCACATATACAAAATGCAGAGAGCAGTTTAGTGATCAGCATGCCGACTTAGACACAACTGATCCGGCAACTTATAAGTTGACATGAAAACTGTTTCTTTGGGGTTCATAGGTAAAGAACAGTAGAAGGAAAAGTTTATTTTATCTTCATTGTTTTAACTAAAAATAGGACAAAGTTAGAAAAATGCATATAAATATAGACAAAATAAAGTTAAAATTATGTACCAAGATGACGCTCTGGAGTACAAATTGATCCTTCATGTATTAAGATTCAGTTAAAACTGACTGGGCTAAGGCTAGTTTGTGTATAGAGCAGTACACTAAGTGTTTGTAAACATAAACCGGAAAATTATATACAGAGGACTAAGGGAAACCCATAACAATGCAATCATAGCCTTTTGCGATCAACAATTGCATGTATTCTCTATAATGCCGTACAACTTCCTATTTCACTCCTTAAATTCATCATTCCCTGTGATCAGAGCTGCCATGTAAACAAAACATACTCCGAGGTTCTTGTCCCCCTCTTAATCAGAATCCACCATATTTCTTATAAGATCCGTTCTGGATACAAATCCTGGATCCGGATTCATGATAAAATGACTCGATTTCTTGATCAACCAAAATATGATTTTAAGCAAAAAATTGCAAACATTTTTTAAAGATTTTTTATTATATTTTACTATAAATAGGAACTAGAAGGAGAACCAGTCAGCTCAGAAAGTCCGGAGGAAGAAGAGACTCTTTGGACAATTCAGAGATTATTATCAAAGAAAGAGGTAAACTTAACTGGGTCATCTAGCATCAGGACTGGGTCATCTTAGATCAGGACTGGGTCATCTTAGATCAGGACTGGTTCATCCTAGATCAGGACTGGTTCATCTTAGATCAGGACTTGTTTATTTTACATCAGGACTGGGTCATCTTAGAGGACTGGTTAATGGCCTGCCTCNAGATCAGGACTGGTTCATCCTAGATCAGGACTGGTTCATCTTAGATCAGGACTGGTTCATCTTAGATCAGGACTGGGTCATCCTACATCAAAACTGGTTCATCCTAGATCAGGACTGGTTCATCCTACATCAGGACTGGTTCATCTTAGATCAGGACTGGTTCATCTTAGATCAGGACTAGTTCATCCTAGGTCAGGACTGGTTCATCCTAGATCAGGACTGGTTCATCTTAGATCAGGACTGGTTCATCTTAGATCAGGACTGGTTCATCCTATATCAGGACTGGTTCATCCTATATCAGGACTGGGTCATCTTAGATCAGGACTGGGTCATCTTAGATCAGGACTGGTTCATCCTATATCAGGACTGGTTCATCCTATATCAGGACTGGTTCATCCTATATCAGGACTGGTTCATCTTAGATCAGGACTGGTTCATCTTAGATCAGGGCTGGTTCATCTTAGATCAGGACTGGTTCATCTATCAGGACTGGTTCATCTTAGATCAGGACTGGTTCATCTTAGATCAGGACTGGTTCATCTTAGATCAGGACTGGTTCATCTTAGATCAGGGCTGGTTCATCTTAGATCAGGACTGGTTCATCCTAGATCAGGACTGGTTCATCTTACATCAGGACTGGGTCATCTTAGATCAGGACTGGGTCATCCTAGATCAGGACTGGTTCATCTTAGATCAGGACTGGTTCATCTTAGATCAGGACTTACATCTTACATCAGGACTGGGTCATCTTAGATCAGGACTGGATCATCTTAGATCAGGACTGGTTTATCCTAGAACAGGACTGATTCATCTTACATAAGGACTGGGTCATCTTAGATCAGGACTGGTTCATCCTATATCAGGACTGGTTCATCCTATATCAGGACTGGTTCATCCTAGATCAGGACTGGTTCATCTTAGATCAGGACTGGTTCATCTTAGATCAGGGCTGGTTCATCTTAGATCAGGACTGGTTCATCTTAGATCAGGGTTCATCTTAGATCAGGACTGGTTCATCTTAGATCAGGACTGGTTCATCTTAGATCAGGACTGGGTCATTGGATCATCTTAGATCAGGACTGGTTCATCCTATATCAGGACTGGTTCATCCTATATCAGGACTGGTTCATCCTATATCAGGACTGGTTCATCTTAGATCAGGACTGGTTCATCTTAGATCAGGACTGGTTCATCTTAGATCAGGACTGGTTCATCTTAGATCAGGGCTGGTTCATCTTAGATCAGGACTGGTTCATCCTAGATCAGGACTGGTTCATCTTAGATCAGGACTGGTTCATCTTAGATCAGGACTGGGTCATCCTACATCAGGACTGGTTCATCCTAGATCAGGACTGGTTCATCCTACATCAGGACTGGTTCATCTTAGATCAGGACTGGTTCATCTTAGATCAGGACTGGTTCATTCTAGATCAGGACTGGTTCTGTGTAATTATTTTCTTGAACTAGAATGGAGTAGAATGGAGGTCTATTTTACTCCTTTGTGTAATTGTTTTCTTAAACTAGGGTGAGTAGAATGGAGGTTTATGTTACTCCCTTGTGTAATTGTTTTCTTGAACTAGAAATGAGTAGAATGGTGGTCTATGTTAATCCTTTGTGTAATTGTTTTCTTGAACTAGGAGTGAGTAGAATGCTTGTCTATTGTTACTCCTTTGTGTAATTGTTTTCTTGAACTAGGAGGGAGTAGAATGGAGTTGGACGAAGGTACTCCAGTATCCAGTAGAACCAAGGATATCAGGAAACCTGAACATATTGCTTTTGACAGATTAAAGATATCCACTACTCCTGGAGTCAAAACTAGTAGTCCTACTACACCAGGTTAGATGATTATGCATCTGCAGATTATTATTGATCTACAGATTATTATTGATGTGAAGATTATTATTCATTTGAAGATTATTATTGATCTGAAGATTATTATTGATCCAAAGATTATTATCGATCTGCAGATTATTATTGATCTGAAGATTATTATTGATCCAAAGATTATTATCGATCTGAAGATTATTATTGATCTGATTCTGAAGATTATTTTTCACATGAAGATTATTATTTATCTAAAGATTATTATTCATCTGGAGATTATTATTGATCTGAAGAGTATTATTGTTTTGCTGATTATTATTGATCTACAAATTATTATTAATCTTAAAAAAAGTATTGTTCTGCAGATTATTATTGATCTGAAAACACAAGGATGGTTGTAGATGGAAAAGTGCTAACTAGTACAGGATGCCAAATTAAAACTGGGGATTAAGTGACGACTTATTTGTCGTCTATGTCCTGCGCGGTATTATTACGGAAAAATACTCTTTCCGGGAATTCCAAAATATGGTCCTGCCATTTTTGAACCATATATGGAATGCTGAAATTCTTGACAATATACAGTAGAGATTCTGAAAACTGAAAACAACGCTTATTTCAAATTACAATGCTTGATTCTCAGTTACTCATATTTATTTAATTATCACTGAATGTACACAAATCATCTCTCAGTTTTGTGCCAGGATAACAGAACATTGTTTAGGTGTAGGTAGAGTACGGGGAGCTCCTATGGATTATTCTCCTCTTCCTTCTCAGCCCTGGCCAGATACTCAAGCTCCGATCACGCCTGCTTCAGGGGTAGGTTCAACCAGACATATACAGGGTGTCCCACGAAACATGACAGTTAGTAAATAGTTTTAAATGTCTTCTTCCATAATTTGTTAAGTTGTTCAATACCAAAGACAGTAATAAAAATATTATATAGGAGTCATATTATAGTAAAATTAACTTCAAAGTAAAATATTTCAGCAAAAGATTTTTTAAACGAAATAAACTGCAAACAGCCTTTAATATCTTATACAGTGTATGGAAGACGACATTCAAAACTATTAACCAACTGTCATGTTTTTCGGGACACCCTTTAGTACCAGACTGGCATTTATACTCAACCAAACTAACAGTATGTTCGTTCAGTCTATTGCCTTACCATAGTACTAACAGTAAAGGCAGTATAAGCTCAACCAAACTAACAGTATGTTCATACAGACTAACAGTAATGGCTTAACCACTAACAGTTTGAAATACGTTGACAGGTCCTTTATGAGTGATTTAACCCAACATTTCTCTGTTACAAACATTGATGCTCTAGTCTTACTGGATTTACTAAAGACGGCCCCAGTGGACTAACCTAACAGACCCCTTTATCAAGTTATCATAGATGAACATCCCATGGTCTCATGGGGTGCTGGGTCAGCGAGGTCCTTTATAAAAAGAAAAGAAATGTCTGTATATTAAATAATGTTTATGTTTAGACGAAGAGGAAGAGAGGTGACGGATACGGATACTTGAATATGCCAACCCCTGACACTCCGTATGGACAGCATATGGGAGCAGATCCATCTCCAACAACTAGGAAATATTTCAAAAAGTGAGTAAACTTGTAAATTGGCACTTACTCACTAATTTTTTATTTTTGTAATCCCAGAATTCAGTGAGATCCAAAAAATGTGGAATAGTAAGACAACGTCTAGACTCAATTTATGCCAATGATTATGAAAGACAGCAATTGTCCAGTGTACACAGTTGATGTTGTTCTATTTGCTTTTTAACAACATCAACTATTGAAGTTCGTCTTCCTAATTCATAGCTTTGTGGGTCATAGGACCGAATTTAATTAATTTACGGAGTCGCTAATCTGTCTTCGCCGGTATGGGATAATCAAAATGAGGGGATCAAGCACCAATATCTCATTAAAGTGATAGTAAGGGATAATCAAAATGAGGGGATCAAGCACCTATATCTCATTAAAGTGATAGTAAGGGATAATCAAAATGAGGGGATCAAGCACCTATATCTCATTAAAGTGATAGTAAGGGATAATCAAAATGAAGAGATCAAGCACCAATATCTCATTAAAGTGATAGTAAGGGATAATCAAAATGAGGAGATCAAGCACCAATATCTCATTAAAGTGATAGTAAGGGATAATCAAAATGAGGAGATCAAGCACCATATCTCATTAAAGTGATAGTAAGGGATAATCAAAATGAGGAGATCAAGCACCTATCTCTCATTAAAAGTTGTCACAATTGATATCGAGATCAAGGATTTTACATAAAAGTTTTAACTTCAGGAGGAGTGAGGATCTGAAGAGGTTTGCTGAAAATTACCAAACCTTACATAAGGAGGAAATAGAACGGGAACGGGAAGCTCTGGAAAAATATTCTGAGGATATAAAAACTAAACCTAAACCTCAGCCTAGGTCAGGTTATCATTATTATCATTGTGATTATTGTTAATTTGTTATTATATTATTCTATTATTATTATTATTATCATTATTATCCTTATAAATTTTGAAATTTCTAAACTATAAATTAATTTGTTAATATTTTAGACCAAATTTTATGAAAGTTCTTGAGGAAAAATATGCAAAGTTAGAGAAAAAACAGGTAAAGAAAAACAACAAAAATACTGATAGAAAATTTAAACTTTCCATATTTTACATATTAAAAGATATTGGACAATTATGCGTAACCGTTCAATCAAGGTATTTATTTTCAAGAGGGGGGAGTTCTATGCTCTATAGAAATAATGAAATATAGAACATATTCTTAAGGCTAAAAGAAAGTTTTTTCAAACTTTTGGAAAGTTTTTTTTTACTAATATTACATTCTTTTATTTTCCCCCTAAATAATATTTTCTTCTTTTCAATTTTGCGACCTGCAAACATACCTGAAATCTATAGGAGAAATATTTTCAACAGACAGGGGGGGGGGGGGTAAGGATTTTTCATGAAAATACATACCTACCTTTATTATAGGAGGGTCTGCAGGAAGCTGAAATAGATGACGCGGAAAGGTAATTTTCTTTTTTTATTTAAGAAAAATTCTGACATTTAGATTCTCTTGCTGTGTTCAAATAGATAAGACTGAATATTTTCGTAACATTCTAATTTTTTAGGAAAAGGGAAGTCAATTTTTAATTGTTGCTAACTTTTTAAAAGTTTGTTGGTTAATAATTGATTAGTTGATAGATTTTATTTTAGAGAAAGTGTGGCTAAAAAGCCGAGATCTGGCGGAGATGAGGGAGAAGAAACTTCCGATCAGGTTTTATCAACTTTCTCTTCAAAATAATAGTTGGTTATGTTTTAATTCAAAAAGAATTATCTTAACAAAAAAGATAAAATTTCAGGAAATGACTGATGATAGCGCTGACAAGATTCTTGCTGGGGTCACAGTTTATATTGCCAAGAAGCATGCGCAGGTCTGTTCTCAGTTCATATTATAGTTTTTAAAGCTGAGGATCCAATAATATTGGTGCAAATGCGGATCCTAATTGAATCCGTCCAAAAAAATGGATCCAATTGAACTCAGAAATAGATCAAGCTCACAAAAATTTCCTGGCTTTGTGCTAATTAAAAAAAAATATCTGCCTTTCATAGCTTTTTTGTGGCTAAAAAAGATTTTTATTTATAAATATTCACTAATTGGGTAACTAGAACTTTGAAAACAGACATGTTGACTCTTCAATACAACGCTGAAGTTTAATTGTATACAATGTAATATTAAAATCTAAATATTTAAATATTTTTTATGAGTTTATAGATGAGCCAAGAAATAGAGGAGATGGTAGGAGAGATGGGAGGGTCTGTATCCAGTTCTTTAGATTCAAGCGTCACTCATCTTATATTTCTGGTTGGTTGGTTGGTTTGGTGGTTTGTTGGTTGGATGTTTGGTTGGTTGGTTGGTTGGTTGGTTGGTTGGTTGGAGGGTTGGTTGGTTGGTTGGTTGGTTGGTTGGTTGGTTGGAGGGTTACTTGTTGGTTGGTTGATTGATTATTTGGTTGGTGGGTTAGTTGATTGATTGGTTACTTGTTCCGGTTGGTTAGTTTATTGGTTATTTTGTTGGTTGGTTTGTTGCTTGGTGGGTGTTTGGGTGAGTGGGTGTGTTGTTGGTTTGGGTTGGTTAGGTGTTGATAGTTGGTTTGTTACTTTTTTGCTATGTTAGCTGGTTGGTTACTTGTTTACCGGGAGATTGGTTGGTGGGTTGGATGGTTTCTTGTTTGCTATGTTAGCTGATTGGTTACTTAATATCTTTGGTGTCTTGAATAATAATAACAAAACCATTTCATTTGAATATGTTCTAAATTTCTTTCATTTCCTACATATCAAACATTTGAGGGATAAAATGATTTTTAAAAGAGGGGAATACTTTTTCAAAAAAATATACGCTCCTGGAAATGTGCTGGTAAAGTAATCCATGAACACTATTCACCCACTAATTGTCTAGGGTAAAACCAATGATCTGACGAAGGAGTTTAGACAGGCAAGAGAAGGAGGAAAATGTATTGTTTCTCCAGTTTGGGTACATATTTGCAGGTTAGTTTTTATGTACAGTACATAGATGTGGAATAACACATCATTTTATCTCAAAATGTTGAAATAGAATATTACTCTCTTGAAAATTTCTTACTTACTTACTTTCTCCCCAACTTTCAGGTTTGAACATTAACAAGTAATTTTCTTTTAAATCGTTTTTCTTACCTTACTTGTTAATTAACTTATCCCAAGGTAATAAGGCAAGGAATGTTAATTGATTCTCTGCGTACATATTGAAAACAGTTCTCTCTGGGCGGGGTATTTGTAAACAAGAATAGATGCGTCAGTGTTCTTCTAGTATCCGTGGAGGATAAAAGCATTTTCGATAATTCACAAAATTGTTTCCTATGACCAGAATATTTCTTTGATTTTTTATGTGAAAGATGGATCCCATGTCAGGCTGTGACACCCGTCTTTTTTTTACTTTAAAGTCCAGAGACAGTACTCTGCAGACAAACTGCGTACGCCTCTGAAATAACTATCCTTACATTTTAATTCTTTAACTCATCCTAATTTTTCTAATTGGAATATTTAAAATGTACTTACTTCCACACTAGGGGATATGCATTTAGTCTGTGCTTACTTACTCACTAACTTTCAGATTTGAACATTAACATGTGTTCTGTGAAATCATTTATTTTCAGCTTAATTGTCAATAAAATTTCATGATTTTTCTAATTTCAACATTTAAAATGTTCAGAGATGAAGGGAGAAGAGTGGACGAATCAGCTTTCCCCCACACTTACAATCCTAGAACAAGTCTATCCTTTGTAGAACCACAGGTAGTTAGTTGCTCCAACCTTACTCATTTAATCTTTGGACAAGTCTATCCTTTGTAGAACCACAGGTAGTTAGTTGCTCCAACCTTACTCATTTAATCTTTGGACAAGTCTGTCCTTATCAAAGAGAACCACAGGTAGTCAGTTACTCCAACCTCACTCATTAAATCTTTGGACAAGTCTTTCCTTTGTAGAACCACAGGTAGTTAGTTGCTCCAACCTTACTCATTAAATCTTTGGACAAGTCTGTCCTTATCAAAGAGAACCGCAGGTAGTCAGTTACTCCAACCTCACTCATTAAATCTTTGGACAAGTCTTTTCTTCATAGAACCACAGGTAGTTAGTTGCTCCAACCTTACTCATTTAATCTTTGGACAAGTCTGTCCTTATTAAATAGAACCACAGGTCACTAAACTAGCGATGTTAAACGCTAAATTTCTATAAATCAAAAGCTCTGAAAAAATCTAAATGTGTTTTTTCCGCGAAGTGCAGAATTTTTATCCATATCCATGGAGGAAAAGAACCGGAATGTTCACAAATATAATGAAGCAACTATTAGATCCGATTTTATATATGTAAATATATGTATACCTCGTATAATTATATTTTTTTATATAGCGAGGGAACCGGTTGAAACAGAAAGAAAAACTTGCCAAGCCTGTATTTCAGGTAAAAAATATTTAATATTTAATTTTTGTATTCTGAATGGATTATTATAGGATTATGATAATTTGATTAGTATGGATGAAGGAATGAATAAATTATTATTGTTAGGATGATGAGAATTCGAATAGTATGGATGAAGGAATGAATAAAACTGAACCAGAAAGAAGCAAACTTATCCAGGAAAGAACTTGTAACTCAATTATATCATTTAACCAAATCAAAATGCGGTAAATTTGGGAAATTTGCACAATTTGATAAATTAGCGATACATTTTATTTTATAGCTTGTAAAACTTTCTTAAAAATTAAAACGGATTTTGAATTTCACAAGATTTTCTCTTTTAAAGGAAACTCCAGTAGACTCATATAAGAAGAGTTTAAAGGTAGATAATATAATTATCCTGAACCTTGCATTTAATTCATATATATAATTATCCTGATCCCTGAATTCAAATATATAATTATCCTGATCCATGTATTTAATTCATTTATATAATTATCCTGATCCATGTATTCAATTCATATATATAATTATCCCGATTCCTATATATTTATGTATTTATCCTGATCCCTGAATTCATAAATAATTATTAATTATCCTGATTTCTGAATTCATATATAATCATTTATTATCATGATTTCTGAATTCATAAATAATTATAAATGATCCTGATCCTTGAATGAATTATGATGTATCCTGGACCTGATCCCTGATCTGAATGTATTTGTATTAAGTCCCTTGAATCCCTTGTTGAAGAAATGAAGAACTCTCCTTCTGTCTCTATCGCATCTAGTTCAAAACTAAAACCGATGCAGGTATATCCCCAATCCAATTTTTTCAAACTTCCGATTATCCCCCCCCCCCTTTCATCATTTTCCCTACTCTCTCATTATCCCCCCCCTCTCATCATTTTCCCTACTCTCTCATCATTATCCCCCCCCCCCTCTCATCATTTTCCCAATTCATGAACAATGAAGTTCATTGAATTTTGTTTGAGGTAAGATAAAAGCCGGCAGAATGATTTTTAAAGATTTTTCCCAAGGTTTCGAAATAAATGCATGCTTCGATAATTGTTTGTTTGTTAGACCTGAAACCTAGTAAAGTTTCAAGTTGGTCATAAATTCAAGTAATTATTTTCTTCGGTCTTTCGGTCGATTCGGTCTTTTTTCGAGCTTCGGTGGCTTTCAAAATACAAATTGATCAAACTTCGAATGCAGTAAACACACTGAGAAATTTTAGCAAGCATACGCAAAATGAATTCTCTTGCACAATCTTACAAGAATGAAAGATAGAATTTTATAAAGAGGCGAATATAATATATTTATATAAACAAGTGTATTTATTGTTATAGTTGGACATGTCTGAGGATAAAACGAGGATTACTACTCCTCGAACTAAGGTATAGATATTTAAATTTCTAACAAAAAATATTGATGACTGACTAACCTGACTGACTGACTGATTGAGATGTTGGATGGGTCAATATCACGAACAATTCAGAGATGATTTCAAGGATGTACAGGAAGTGGAAGTCTTAAGCTACCAAAATTCCAGAAGAAATTCTGCGGCTAAGCTTTCTTCTGATTGTCTTCAATTATAACCAATATGTATTAGGAGTCTAAAGAGGTTGAGAGCCAGGTTCTCTGGGTTGACCCTGAAGAGGAAAGGAATAGGAAGGAGTTGGCTCATAAACTTAGGTAAGCGGGGGGGGGAGGAAATGGGTAAACGGGGGAATTGGAAAGGATAAAGGTAAAATGAAGAAAGGGGGGGGAGGGGCATGGTTATCATTATCATCGTTTTTATTAGTAACATGAATATAATTATTAATATTAGTCTGGAGACCCAGGAGATTTCTGGATTCTCCGAGAATATTATAATTATTAATATTAGTCTGGAGACCCAGGAGATATCTGGATTCTCTGAGAATATGACCGCAGAAATGGATTCAGGGATTCACAAGGTCTTCTCATTCTCAGGAGTAGAGGAGCACCAGGTTAAAAATAATATTTTATTATCATTTTTATTATACCCATCAAACTGGGAAATTACTAATTAGAAGACGTAATATAAGCAATCTTATTTATATTTGACGTCGCTTTACAGCAAGTAGTTTAATTGAAATGAGTTTGTGTACACTGCACAATTTTGTTGTGTTCATGTTCATTGGATTTTTAAGATTATAACAAGTGTTTAATAGTCTTTCTCGTCCACAGTTTCTTGGGTCTCACTGTAGAGCGATTAGGGGAGAGGAATTTGAGATGTGATTGAACAATTTAAAAAAAAATATTTTTAAAAATCAAATTTAACGAATGGCATTGTTGCATATTACAAGGCACTAAAATGGAGGGTCGCTTTAAGTTGTGTCTACACTTTACATTCTCCTTTTTTAAAAGATTTAAATTGTGTTAACTGATATTTTTCTTCAGATTTGTTCTGCAGTTAAAAAGCTTGGAGGGGAGGTTAGTAAGAAGGGAATGTATGACTCCTCAGCTACACATATGATTGCGGGAAAGGTTGGAAACTTTTTTATTAACGTTTTAAATTTTTGGGCTGTATAAAGCTGTTTTGATGGAGAATTTCGGAATTCATACTTATTGAAGATTCATTTTGGCATAAAAAAATGCTCACAAAAATGTTCAGTCTATATGTAAAATTGTTTTTCTTCCGATCCATTCCATTGACAATTCCTTCTGTTTTCTCGTAAACACTTCCTTAATATAGTTTTCTTTCCAACTCTTCTTAGTTTTATGGGGTATTATTATCTATATAATAAAACAAGACATTCGTATATATATATATATATATATATATGTTGCGTATTGCCGTCCAAACGGCTGGACGATTTGGCTGAAATTTCTTGTGGACACTCATGGGTGACCTGGGGGTGTTTTTTTCCACGGGCAACGCCGTGCCCTTCAGCTAGTTTCTAATAAAATCATTAATAATAAAGAAATATATTTGTTTATTATTTAGGTGAACCGAAGTGAAAAGAGTCTTGGTTGCATAGCTGCAGGTTCATGGATTCTTCATCCGTCCTATATCAAGGATAGTCTAGCTGCAGGTTTCTGGTTACAGGTTAGTATCTCATGTTGTATCCGTCCTATATCAAGGATAGTCTAACTGCAGGGTTCTGGTTACAGGTTGATATGTCATGTTGTATCCGTCCTATATCAAGGATAGTCTAACTGCAGGGTGCTGGTTACAGGTTGATATGTCATGTTGTATCCGTCCTATATCAAGGATAGTCTAGCTGCAGGGTTCTGGTTACAGGTTAATATCTCATGTTGTATCCGTCCTATATCAAGGATATGGGTTCTGGTTACAGGTTAGTATCTCATGTTGTATCCGTCCTATATCAAGGATAGTCTAGCTGCTGGGTTCTGGTTACAGGTTAATATCTCATGTTGTATCCGTCCTACATCAAGGATAGTCTAGCTGCAGGGTTCTGGTTACAGGTTTGTATCTCATGATATATCCGTCCTATATCAAGGATAATCTAGCTGTAGGGTTCTGGTTACAGGTTGATATGTCATGCTGTATCCGTCCTATATCAAGGATAGTCTAGCTGCAGGGTTCTGGTTACAGGTTGATATCTCATGTTGTATCCGTCCTATATCATGGATAGACTAGCTGCAGGGTTCTGGTTACAGGTTAATATCTCATGTTGTATCCGTCCTATATCAAGGATAGACTAGCTGCTGGGTTCTGGTTACAGGTTGATATCTCATGTTGTATCCGTCCTATATCATGGATAGTCTAGCTGCTGGGTTCTGGTTACAGGTTAGTTTCTCATGATGTATCCGTCCTATATCAAGGATAGTCTAGCTGCAGGGTTCTGGTTACAGGTTAATATCTCATGTTGTATCCGTCCTATATCAAGGATAGTCTAGCTGCAAGGTTCTGGTTACAGGTCAGTATCTCATGTTGAATCCGTCCTATATCAAGGAAAGTATTAAAGTTTTTTCATTGCAGGAGGAGGCCTATGAGTGGGGAAATCCAAGCTCCGACTTCTTAGATCTAACGAGCGCAAGTATTGAGTCTAGAATGAGTGTTGCTGCCCGTAGATGGAGGATGGCTCGTGAACGCGGTGAAGGAAAGGTCTTCAGCGGAATGAAAGCGTACATTGCTATACCTAGTCAGAAGCAAGGATCTTTTGCTAGGTAAATATTCTTGTGTAAATTTTAGGATCTGGGGTATTTTTAATTGCTGTGCTCCGGGCGACGGTTCGACTTAGACTTTTTCTTCGAATCCCACTTATACTCTCTAGCAATCCTCCGACCAGACCCTCTTTAATATGTTAGATATTTTCCCAAGTGTAGAAGAAGTTGTTCTTTTTCAGTCGAACATTCACACATTTCACAAATGGAAATTTGCAACTTGGGAACAGTTCTTGAAGAAAGTACACAACACCGTTTCACCCCCTACCCTTCAGATACAAGTGCACAACAACAATTGGGGTTTAATTTAATTGATATCTTACAGGAAATATGCCTCAAGCAATACCTGAAAACTATGATTTGATAACTATATGATTTATTATTTAATGAATTTTAGGTTAATTGAAGCAGGAGGCGGAAAGATTATTGATTTGTTAAGTGAGACCACAATGATGGAAATATCTCATGTTTTCACAGAACCAAAATACTTCCCAACCATACAGGTGAAGTCTCCCCCCTGTTGAAAAATGAGTTTTATATCATACACACTTGTATCTTCCTATATACCTACAATCTACATAAACTATAACCTTCCTAACTATCCACAAACCATTCTACTTCTCTACCCGATTACATCTCTAACAACTCACCTATCAGTCTACTGACAATGATTCTATCTACCAACAATACCTCCTGCATACGTGTCCACCCAACATCCTGCCTACAAACATTACTACATCTCTTAACTATCAGATTTTTACTCAATAGCCTAATAAACTGGCTACCCATCTGTAGGGTTACCTACAAAGGGTGAACAGCAGAGACGACTTACGGAATTTATCATATCAGTTTCCTTACGTTAATGATTCTCTGCAAGGCCATAAAAATATTATCTTCAAAACAGAAAACTTAACCTTGCAATCGGCATATTTAAAGGGTGTCAGGTCTCATCCATAGCGGGTGAACCTGTACCTACCTTCAAACTAATTATTCTATTATCTAGAAAATGTTGCCTTGTATAAGTGAGTTCTGTATCCCTGTTCTTCAACCTGTTTATCTCAGCGAGTATCTTTCTAACGAGAAACATCCAGTTGTAGAGAACTATATGTTGGAAGAGTACAAGTAAGACGGGATGGGATCAGATCGAATTGAAAGGAATTAAAGATTGTGTAAATGGGATTGTATTAGATGGTGCGAGATAGGATTTAGAATGTTTTTACAGTTTTTTATCCCAAGTTACAAAAATCTATATTAATCTTTAAATTTTTATATTTAATCTTAAAATTTATATTTAAAATTTATATTTCTGTTCAGGCCCTGCTGGGAGAAGAATAAAAGGAGCAGAGTGACTACGGATACTCCAACCAGTCTTCCTAAAAAGAGCAGACTGTAGACGACAATCATTCAGAAATGATTATATTTAACATTATAGTTAAAACTTTCACCCAACCTTCAATTGTTTCATTTTATCTCTCAATATTTGAAGCTTTAAAACTTAAGATGAATTGAATCACCGATTCCTGATTTATAACTACTATTATTGTTTTTTTATTTTATTTTAAAACTATCAACCGACTTTTATACAGCCTATTTTTGAATTAGACCAAGTTTATCTTTTTTGACATTTTTTTGGGTCACGGAATCCCACAAACAAAAAAGCTGTGGAGACAATTTTCTGGGACGAAACAAAATTATTTCTTTTTTTTTCTAATCTATGGCAATATATTAAGCATCATTTTGAAATTATTAATATGACTATCATAAATATCTGTATTCGCGTGATAAAATACATTCCGAAAATAAATACATATTTGAAAACAAAACATCAGTTATTTTTATCTTTAAACGGGAAGGGTTGCTTTTATGACATCTTAAAGGGACATTAGGCGAAAGGTCTCTTGAAATAACGACTACAGTCCCTTTAAATAGATATAATAAAGCAAATGAATACTGTTTTGATATTTATAAGGGCATGCAAAGAACTCCATTGTCCAGAACTTCTTTAAATCAACAAACCAAAAATTATCATTTAATTGCTATACGACTTGTTAACTACCTAGTAAGGAATTCAGTTATTGTCGCAAACTCAAATTTTTGAATCCCTATATTTTTGCAACCTAATCGTGTAAATCTTTTTATTTCAAACTTACTGCACTTATTGATCTTTTGTTTGAAATATCAAAGGTCAATGTCCCCCCCCCCTTTTTGTCTTTCTCTTTGCCTTGATAGGGTTCTTTCAACAAGGGAGAACTGAACTATCCTATTCTGTATTTATTTGATTGGTTAAACTAATATTTCTGTTAAATATTACTCTTAAGATAAATTCATATTCCGGTTCAAAAAGAACCAAAAAGCTTAAACCTCCACTACGCCGGTGTTTGACACTAATTTCTGGTAAAAGGGTGAAATGATTTCGGAAATATATTGGATAAAAACTGTTAGTACGTTTCGTTCCATAACACCTAAATTGAAAGGTAAATTTGATTTTCTGTGAATTTTTATTTGGTTACATCATACCGTGGAGTTCAGTCAAATTTTACAAAATTTAAAGTAAGCAATTTTTTCTACAAAAATAATACTCAGTTACTAAAAAATTGTCTGATGTCAAATGGATAAAAAGCCACACTTATTCAAAAATAAGAAAAGGCTAAATTTTAGGCTACAGTCAGCAGTATACTACTGTACACTAAACACTCTCTACTTGTCTACAATCAATGATCTACAGTTTATAAGAATCTTAAGTTTTTACTACAGTGAGAACCAGAAAATGAGACTTTAAATTGTCCGAAAACATGAGACTGAGAAATTGTAGTATGTTAAGAGACCCATTCAACTTGTTATGAATTTTATAGATTGCTGTTACAACTATTTGCTTTGTAACATCAAATACATTTAACTACTGCTATATTGTCGTCATACTATTCCACATTTTTCTGGTCCTCACTCTGTTAACACTTTACCGTCTATAGTAGTCTTCTATCCTACAGGGTGTCCCAATAAACAAGGGAATTGAATTATGACTTCTATATTGTCTTTTTTCCATGCTGGACTATTTCGTTAACATAATTTTGTAGTATCAAAGTTTAACGCATACAACGCTGAAAACTACGAGTATTGAATTTTCAAAATGTATACCATTTTTTTGCCTTCAAGATTAACGCAGGTATCAGGAAATTTGTCCAGATTCCAGTTTATCAAAATTTAACATTACTATTGAAATATTTAATATCTTCGCCAATTTTAAAGATAAAAGAAGGTAGACAACATTTTAGAAAGCTCATTAGACTTCAAATTTTTTTGTTGCATGTTAAGTCATTTATCTAATATCGGAAGTCATAGAAGATTTTCAAGTCTTCTATCAATTCCCATGTTTATTGGGACACCCTGTATAATTGTTATTAAAGGTGTGATAAAATTGGACTTGCATTTCATGTTTAAAGTTGCTTCAACTAGTTTGTAAAGGAATTGGAAATCTTATCTTTTTAAATCATAGTAATGCAAATTCAATGTTATTTCTGTTTTCCAAATGTTTTTTTCAGATTTATTCAATAAATCTAAGATATTTGTATTAAGAAAGAAGCTTCTTTCTATAAGTATTTAAGCACTTTTAGAGTACTCTATCTACAGTACACGAAATTTGAATTGGCCGGTACATGATGGTCTCTTGACGCCTCTGTACTCACAGTAGGAAGTTGATCTTGGCGGCTGACGAAAGCTAAGATTGACAGCTTTCTAATATGTATTTTGAATTTACTGTATCGTCTCCATGATTACATTTTTACAGTAAAACCTGATAAAAAAGTATTAAGTCAGTGATGGTTTTTAAGAAAGATACAAGGAGCCGACATTCAGAGCAGGTTGGACGAAATCCAAAAACGTTATAACCAATAAGTCCTGACATCCTAGAGGAGTCTCTGTCATATTAATTCCAATTTGATCAGGTAATAATTAATCCTTTGAGAGAAAAAAGTGTGAAGTGTTGAGTTTTGGCTTCAGAGGATAGGACCTGACCTGGAAAACCTGGCCTGCATCATGCCCAGGAGGATCCTGGATGATATAAAAAAAAAACAGAGGGATGCGGCTAGACACTAGCCCTATTGTATTTAAGTATTTAAAAAATATATCATTACAAATTATCCTTTTACACTCCTTTATTTGAAACATCGGCCAATTTAAATGTCGGGTGATGTATATATCTATATATATCTATATATATATATATATATACCAAATCAAAAACTGATGAATTGACCCATACGGATGATTCAATAGGACGAAACACCGTGTCTACGGATATAAATGCGTTTAATCCGCTAAACTTGAGCACTTGGAGGTAATTCATATAACTACTAATTAGCATTATGCAAATTCAACTTATAACGAGTTGGTTTGTAGTAAATGCCCTGCTCAAATGACTCCAATAAATTCTTTCAGATAAGTACCAATCCGGGTATCTCAATCTCGAACTCCAGGTTCTCCAAAAATACCTTGGTCAGTATCAATCCGATACGACTCTCTATATTCTCAAAAATCTGTCTTACAAGATACAACTCAATCTAGAACTCAAAGTTCATCACAAATACCATAGTCAATATCAATCCGGATACTACTCAGTCTGTTTTCTCAGGTATCGGTCTTAAAAGACAAAACATAATTAAGCTAAATCGTGATACAGGTTCATAGTGAAGATAAACCATGATACAAGTTTTTATGTAGTTATTTAATAACGTTGTTAATTGTCTCTGGTCCTATTTCATTACCCAATCATCAGGGTTTGATCCATATTCTAAGGATTCATAGTTCAAGTCCCACCAACTGCAAAATTAAAATCTGATAAATTGAGCCATACTGAGGCGTTCTAATAGGACAAAATACTGTGTCTACTGTCTATAGATTATAGGGTTATCCATAAAGGACTTTAATTCATAATTTATTCGTTTTATCTCACAGTCTTGGTTCATTGCAACTGTGAATTATATCATTTAATTTTAAGGAAATATTTAACTATGTAGAAGGCAGAAAACAAAATGCAGCCATCATAAAGTTATATTTTAAATACTCAATGTTTATTTATTCTTTTAGGGTAACTGTGTGTAATTTAAAGTGACCCAACATGCAAAGATGGCATGCCTGACTGACATGATTTACTCTAAAAAGCTTTGCCTGATAAAGTTTTAATACATCAATTTTTACAATTTTAAAATCATATTATTTTCAATTGTGGTTTCTCTTCTAGTGACTTGCACATTTCTAATGCAGGAATTTGTAATGAAATTATCGGAATTATTTAAGCATAGAAAAAACAAATCTTTTCCATTATTGATAAGATTAATAGTACCGTTGTGAATCAGGCATTGCCATCTTTGTACGGAGGGTCGCTTAAAATTACGCCCACAATCCCTTTAACATTTAGGAAGCTAACAATCAACTAACACTTTTAATTAATACTGGGGATGCAAGTTCCAAACCGTGAGTCCGCACCTGGACCTGACACTGACCAAATCAACAAAATTAACTTTTTTTACTGTCAATGTTTTTTTAATTTCTATCAATAAGAAAAAAAACAAGTTTCATGTTTGGGCGAAAGCAACGAAGCTATCCTTTTTTACTTTTTATGTTTTTTAATTTAAACCGTCCGCGCTCCCCATACTTTTGTGTAAAATATTCAAAGCTACAATTTTAGATAAAACAATTGCAAATTATTCTTCTAGTATTGGAACTGTTTCTGCTTTTGATAATAAATAATTTTATTTTGAAAAATATCACAATTTTCAAATTCACATAACGCTTTTTAAACCGATAGATGATGTTGAGTCATTTTACAGATTTGCACTGTTGACGCTTTACAAGTATGCGCGCCAAACCGTAGATGTGTTTTTGCTCGGGCTCTCTTAGTTGTTTTGTAAATAGAAACATTGTCTTCCATCAATGATAAACCCTTGAACTACGCTATCGGGTTCATTATTCCATTGATTTTAATTTTCCTGACTCCAGAGAGTAAATAATACAGGGTGTCCCAAAAAACATGGGAATTCAGTGACGAATTCGATATCGTCTTTGTTATGAACTAGCATAGTAATACCTAGTTTCAAAAGCCATAATATTTTTATGTTTGCTAGAGTATATTTTATAAAAAGGGTAAAAGACTGCAAAAATGTGTCTATAATGTCTCCGCAATATGAACAGAGAAGACGGACAAGTTTACTCGGTGACATGGAAACGCCTCAACACGGAAACGACTCAACACGGAAATGCCTCAAAAAAACAGAATCATAAAACTAATTTAATGTCGTCTTCTCTCAACTTCAAATTAAAAAGACTGTATTCTAACGATTTTCACAGCAATGGCCGCAGCGCTCGGCCTCCTAGCCTGTTCTAGCTGCAGCGCTCGGCCTCCTAGCCTGTTCTAGCCGCAGCGCACGGCCCCCTAGCCTGTCCTAGTCGCATCGCTCGGCCCCCTAGCCCATCATAGCCGCAGAGCTCGGCCCACACTGTAGCCTGCGGCGCAACCTAACTTACCCTAAATTAATGGTAAAATAATTGTTAAAATATTTTTTTAATGAGAGAAGACGACATTAAATTAGTTTTATGAGTCCGTTATTTTGAGACATTTCCGTGTTGAGGCGTTTCCATGTCACCGTTTACTCTGTATACTGCAATTTTCTTGTTTTATGAACTACAACCTTATGCAGTCAAAACATAAACAAACAAAATGTGAACATAGCAGACGAAACTCTTACAGACTACAGCTTTCTCAGTAGGTATCACTATACTAAATCAAAGAATTATTTAAAAAGACGATATCGAATTCGTCACTGAATTCCCATGATTATTGGGACACCCTGTAAATTGCAACATAGTTTTTTATTTTAATTAATTATATAAGAATATAACAATGTTTTATAATTGAAATATCTGGTGCTTTTTATTTATGATAAATCTATTTTTAATTATCAAAAAGCACATATTGTAGTTAAAGGATGCAATGTAAATATTTAAAAAACCGATTTATCTTTTATCATCGTTTATTCTTTCATATTTTTTTCATATTTTTATTTAACTACAAAGCACGAGATAAAATAAAATCACAATTTACTGTGTAATTTGTACCTGCCTAACCAGAGTAGGTTGTTTAAATTGGTTGGCCCACTATAAACGAATGAGAATTGTAAATAGATAGATACAAGGGATTACACTGTAAAGTGCATTTTAAACATAATAATGATGATAAATCAGGAAAAAGGTAAGGTGAGGGAGTGTAAGGAAAAGGGAGAGGGGGTTGCGAGGAAAGGGGGTGTGGGGAAAGGGAAGTAAAATTAACATATTTACTTCAAAAATACAGAATTCTTGACTTCTTTACTTGTGTTTACTCCCAATATGTCTTTTGAGATTAGACGTTGTAGTGGCAGAATATTCACATTTATCACAAGAATATCTAATTCCTTCATGTTTACTCTCAGTATGTCTTCTTAGATCACTTGATGTAGTTGCAGCGTACTCACATTTCGAGCAGGGATACCTCACTCCCTCATGAGTACTTTCAAAATGTCTTCTAAGATGTGATTCCCTAGCTACTGCGTAATCACATTTATCACAGGAATATTTCACGCCTTCATGTATATTCTCAATATGCTCTTTGAGATGACTGGGTCTAGACGCAACGTACTCACATTGATCACAAAGATATCTCAATCCTTCATGCTTTGTCTCTTTATGTCTTCTAAGATGATTTGGTTTCGTTGCAGCGTAATGACATTTATCACAGGGATATCTCACTCCTAAATGTTTATTCTCAATATGTCTTCTCAAATCCCTAGTTGCAGTTGCAGCGTATTCACACTTATCACAAAGATATCTCACTCCTTTATGATTGCTTTCAATGTGTTCTCTAAGAAGGGTTTTTCTTGTTGTAGTGTATTCACATTTATCACAAGGATATCTCGCTCCTTCTAATTTCCTCTTCTTGGTTCTGTTTGATTCGAGAGGATCTCCTTCATTGTTTATGGTTCCGTCTAAAAAAGGTAAAAAAAATCAATATCATGATTCTTTAATTTGATCTACAGAGACTTAAGATAATTAACTGGTTCAAAATCTGTGAAGAGAAAATCACATTTAACCCTTGTCAGTATCATTAAATACTGAAAGCTAGAGTTTTTAATTAATTAAATAAATAAGAAAACTTTTAAATTAAATGGCTGATATATCTCATTAATGGACGGATATCAATTAAAGTCTATACAAGGTTAATTTATATTAATACAAGAGAAGGGGGGGGGGGCTCTTTTGTAATTGCCCCCCCAACCCCAATTTTTAGAGAAGGCTGTATAGCTGACGTCAGTATCTTATTAATTCTTTCATCTGAGCAAAATGTAGAAAGATACCGTTTCTTTCTATCTTGAAAAGACGTGCATTCTAACTATTTCCTTCTTTTTCTCCTGCTGCCATTCGGACATACCATGATGCCACTCTATAATGGAAGGTCGATTAAAATTACGTTTACAGTCCCTTTAAGGTCAGTAACTTTACCTTGAATTGCATTCTTCACATCTTCTTCTTTTATATAAACAATGCTTGTTTCCTCTACAGTAGAGGGTAACAGAATTTTTTCACGCATCTCAATTTTATTAATCTTCAAGTTTCTGGCAGTTTTTCTGAAAAATTTTACTTACTTTCCAAGTAAAACCATTCATTTTATAGAATATGAAATCAATTGTTAAAATAGCGATCTTTTCTGGAATGTTAACAAAAAAAATTCGATAAAACTTATCATATTTGACTTGTAATCTATATATTATATATTATACAGTGGAATAGAAAGACGACATCATAGCAATACTCAAGCGTTTTAATGTTGTTATAAAGCAAATATTTTTACTGGTAACTTTGCAAAGCACTATTAAAGTGAAATGGTTCTATTTACAATGTACAATTGCTATGTCTAATAGTCATTGAACTAGTTTAAGTCCTAACTTGAGTTTAAAAGTCGTCTTCCTATTTTAGAATTTCCTGGGTATTACTGTATTATATGTTTTTTTGGATGCCCGATCATAACTTGGAACCACGTAAGCCTATTTCCCTAAAAGTTTGATTGGGAAATTCGGTAGAACCACGGGAATCTTAGCTAAGAGTATAAATTTATGTTGAATGGGTTGACTTTTATAGGGAAAACTCCAGGCGAAGTTGGGTTCCCAAATTAGATATTAATAATATCATTATTACATTCATCATAAAAATAGCTCAATGTATGTTTACTAAATATCATTTGATGGAGTTGTAGCACAAATATAGATACATCAAGAACAGTTCATGTTTATTCCGAGTATGAACTTTAAGATTACTTGATGTTGTTCCATTTAAGACAAGGATATCTCACATTTTCATGTTTACATTGAATATGTTTTCTGAGTGTGCCTTTTGTAGATACAGAATACTCACATTTATCACAATGGTATTTTATTCCTGCATGTTTACTCTCAGTATGTTGCCTGAGAAAACTTTTTGTAATTGCAGCGTAATCACATTTATCACAAGGATATCTTACTCCTTCATGTTTCATTTGAATGTGTGATCTGAGACCACTGGCTGTGGAAGCAGAATACATTGACCTTGTTGTAGATAATCTTGCCAGTATCTTGATACTAAGGTGGGTTGTGAAGTAAATAGTGAAGAAGATCACTATTATTACAAGAGGTCATTGACCGCCTAATGATCTGGGCAGAAGAGTGGCAAATGGAGTTTAATGCATCAAAGTGAAAAGTCTTGCATCTAGGTAAAAAGAATAAACAGTTCAGCTACACCATGGGAGGTCATGCTCCAGGTGGTCAGATTCTTGAAGTAACTAATTGTGAAAAAGATATTTAGGTCCTTCTCCTAATACAGAGACAAGTATACTTGGATCAGGCTTTACAAAGTATATGTACGACCTCTTCTAGAGTACTGTGTTCAGGCTTGGTCACCTTGGCTTAAATCAGATATTGAACTGCTTGAGAGTGTTCAGGCCTTCATAGTACCTCATACCTTGATCAATTAAAGGAGGTCAACTTGACCACCTTAGAAGAAAGAAGAATAAGAGGGGATATAATCCAGACTTGGAAGATTCTCCTATAAACATGATAAGGTAAAGAAGGTACATGGTTTACAAGGTCTGTAGACACAGCTTAACGAGAAACAAGATTTTCGACATACAATATGAACCTCAACTCAACACTGCAATCTAGATATTAGGAGAAACTTCTTTAGCTTGTGAGTTATTAAAAGATGGAACAGTTTGCCAATAGTCATTAAAAATGCCACCTCATTGATTAGTTTTAAGAATATGTATGACAAACATATTTCTTCAATGTGATAGGTGTCAGGGGCGTCTAGATCCCTGATTAAACTTAATTCACTATCAGTAGAAACAAAAAAGATATATTGACTCGCTGAAAATGTCACAAAAGTGATCTCCCAGCGAAAAATTTTCCAGTAATTCCAGGTTCGGTAATCTCATACTTTACATCTTCTTCCTTTATGTAAAAAGTACATGTTTCCTCTACAGTACATGTATCCTCTACAGTACATGTATCCTCTACAGTACATGTATCATCTACCGTAGAGTAGGGAAGGAGCTCTTTTTTGATCTCATTATTTTCCATCTTTACTTTTTAACATTTCCGACCATTCTCTCTGAAAGGCATTTTTAGTTATTTTTACAGAATTTGGAAATAAATCTTTATAATAAAATTACTCATTTTAATTGAAAAAAGTGTTGAATAAAAAAACATGTCAAAGAAGAGGAAAAAGACCGAGTGGAGGAATCACAATGAAGAAGTGAGAAGAAAATAAATAAAAAGTCATTTATAGATATAAAATATAGTTTTTAGTGAAAATTGGTCACTTAGTGTTGGTCTTTTAGACATGATGTGATAACAATAAGTGGGTCAGATAGAAGCTTAATGTAGGTATAAGTCGGTTAGGCGCAATATGTAAAATAGACCGGGGTAAATAAGTTTTAGAAAAATTATCCCATCCCCTTGAAAACTTTAATCTCCCAAATTGTGGTATAACACAGTGCAGAACAAGCACTAGATTTTCAATCGTTAAATACTAAAATTTAAGGGGAAGAATGACTTGAGGGAAAACCCAATAAATTCAATTGATGTCTCATTTTTTGTTCTTCTCCGGGAATATGGGTATCATCATTAAAGAAATATTCCATGTCTAATTTACGTGAAAGTCTAATTAAGTACATTGTATCACACTCCTGGTTCCTCTAGCTTGGGAGATACAAGTTGATATGTTACCCCTGGAACAGTAACAGGACGAATATTTAACTGAAAACCATGATGTTTTGTTCTCATGTGTCTGTTGAGATCACTCCTTCTTGTGGATGCGTAATCACAAAGTTTGCAGGGATATCTTACGCCTACATGTCTACTCAGAACGTGCAATCTTAGGCCATTTACTGTAGTTGCCGAGTAAGCGCATGTGTCACATGGGTATCTTACTCCTTCGTGTATAACCTCAACATGTCTTTTAAGGTCACTTGCTGTAGTTGCCGCGTAAGTGCATTTTTCACATGGATATCTCACTCCTTCATGTTTACTTTCAATGTGTTTTCTAAGATGACTAGACCTAGTCGCACTATACACACATTTATCACAGGGATATCTCACTCCTTCGTGTATACTCTCAGTGTGTCTTCTGAGATCTCTTCTTGTAGTTGCAGCAAAATCACATTTACCGCAGATATGTTTAGCTCCTTCGAGTTTTCTCTTCGTGGGTTTGTTTGGAAGGGGAAATTCATTTTGATACGCCACAAGTTTACCTAGACAGAAACAACAAATTTTAATTTTATTTTTACCTTTTAATTTTTTATCAATATAACAATAATCTTTAAAGTATAAGTCTTCCACAACCAAAACTGCTCCAGGTCGTTATAAATATCTATCAATAAAATCTGAGAATTTGGTCTAACTCTTGCAGCTGTTGGTTACTCGATAATAATTATAATAATAATAAAAAAATAATAATATTTAGTACAAAAAAAGAATAAGTCAAAGTTTTACCTTGGGAGTCAGTAATTTCAATCTTCACATCTTCTTCCTTGATATGAACAGTACATGTATCCTCTCCAGTAGACGATATTGGGATCTCATCTTGAATTTCTTCTTTTATTTCAATATTTTCCATGACGCCAACATCTTCTTCCGTTTTATGAACAGTATATGTATCCGCTTCAGGGAAGGATTTAAAGATAACTTCCTGGATTTCTTCTTTTATCTCAACATTTTCCATTTTTTCATCTTCTTCTGTTAAATGAACCTCAAATGAATCCTCTTCTACAAACGATGGATAAATTACTTCTTCAATCTCAATAATTTCCATCTTTATTTCCGCCGCCATGTTTTCGGCCATTCTCTCTGAAAAATTTCATTAGTTATTATTATTGATATATTATTTCAGAAGATTATGACTTTGACGAAAACACTTTTTTTCATAAGATAGGTTTGTTTGTCCCCAAAAAGACATAATGAGGTAGACAAATCGTCAAATTTTGATGTGAAACTTACTCCTATATGTTTACTCCTAATAAGTATCCTAAGTCTTTTTATTGAAATTTCAACGTATTTACAATTATTGCAAGAATGTTTCACTTCTTCGTGTTTACTTTCAATGTGTATTTTCTAAGATTGTTTGTTACTGTTATCAAAGTAAACTCACATTTATTACAAGACTATTTCAGTTCGTTAATCTTTTTAAGCTACAGAGTGTCTCGAAAAATCGGGAAATAAAGGTCGTTTGTACTCGTATTTTAAGGATTGAGCCCATTTTGGAAAATAAGACTCGTTTATAATCGTATTTTAAGGATTGAGCCCATTTTAAAATCTATTTACAATTTCCAATTCAAAAAGCTCAATTTTGAGTTTGTAGATCTAAAAGCAACAGTTTTATAGGCTACTAAATTGATTGATTGATTGATTGATTATCGATTATTTCTTTATGCCTTATTACCAGCATCTTAAATATTAGGCTACTAAAGTTTTCAATCGGAGTGAGTAAATTTGGTAAAAAAAAAGATAATCTCCGTTTGCACAATTTTGTATAAGGGTCTACAGACTTGCTTGTAAACGGGATTTTCAAGATTGAGATCATTTTTGATATCTACGTACAATACCCAAATCATTGAGTCCAATTTTAGGCTTGTAGACATACAAACAACAATTTTATAAGCTCCTCAAGTTTCCAACTGGAGCGAAGTAAAAAGTAAAAGATAATCTCAGTTTGCACTATTTTATATTTAATGTAAGGTTACAGTTTATTACAGTACAATTAATTGAGCTCATTGAATCAAACATTGTGTGTAGATATCAAAAATGGTTTACAATTTGAAAATCCGATTACAAACAAGTCTGCATAGACCCGTATGTGCAAATGGAGATTATCTTTATTTGAACCAAATTTACTCACTCCAGTTGGAAACTTTTGGAGCCTATACAATTTGTTTAGGTCTACAAGCCTTAAATAGGGCTTTTTGAATCGGAAATATTGTAAATAGATTTTAAAAATGGTCTCAATCTTTAAAATCCGATTTCAAACGAGTCTGTTGACCCTTATTCCCCGTTTTTTTTGACACCCTGTATACTCTTCATATGCCTTTTCAGAATACTGGTAGAAGATGCAGCATTCTACAATTATTACAGGGATATCTTACTCCATCATGTTTACTTTCCACCTGTCTTCTTGCCATCTTTGCATTATTACGCTTAAAGTCCCTTAAAACAGAGAAGATAAAGGCAAACTGCCAAGGGAAAGAATAAGAAACGTTAACAATAGAAAGGGTGTAAATTTTAATAAATCTACATGAGTTTAATAAAGAATTTACACTTGAAAGATATTTACAAAAGATATCTACAAAAATTCATAAAAGGAAAAGGTGCGGGAATAGATTACATACTCTTTAAAGTTTTAAAACATTAAAACTCTTTTTCAGTGTTAAGAGGACAACATTTAACACTGAAGAAGAGGTTTAAAGTTTTTAAAATTATCTATTCCCGCACCATTTTCTTTTATGATTTTTTTTTCTTTTTAAAATCAATTATGAAAAAAAGTGGTTTTTTTTTGGCAGTCTTTTGCTTGGCTCGAAAAGGGGCTCACGTACAAAAGGTAGAATTACAAAAGGTAGAATGACAAAAGGTAGAATGACAAAAGGTAGAATGACAAAAGGTAGAATGACAAAAGGTAGAACAATCAAAAGGTAGAACGATCAAAAGGTAGAATAGACAAAAGGCAGAACGTTCAAAAGGTAGAATTTTTTTATATTTAGAAGGAAGAAAATTTTCTAAATTTTTACAAGAAAATCCGCGAATTTTAAAAAAAGGATTCTGCGGGGTTCGGGCAGGGTTCTCCTGACTACCTGGGTTCGAACAGGATATTGCTGGGCTCATGGCCGCATCCCTCATCCATGTTAACGGAAAATTACGCGAAATTCTATATTTTACAAAGATGAAAAAACATGGTGGCTTGAAAAGTATTATTTAAAGGAAAGAGAATTAATCTCAATTTAATGATCAGGTTTTCTATATTTTTCGATCTGGTTCTGCTTTTTGAAAAACTTAAAAATTCTAATTCTGAGGAATTTATTTGCTCCATTTCTTAATATTTTTTCCGTATTTCCTAAACTTTAAACAACTCAAATTCTTAATCTGAAAATATTTTATCCGTTTCCGGCTTAAAAAAAAATATTCAATTGAGATTAGAAAATCGTTCCAACAAATAGAAACAGATAAATAAATTGCAAAACTGGATCGAATTAGATTGAAATGTTTAGAAAATTGCGGGGCTGAGCGAAAAAAGACGAAAAAGGCCAACAAATTGCGCAAGGATAATAATATCTCTGAACTCAGCCTTGGCGATAAATTTCAATGTTTTGCAAGAAAGTGTCTCTTTAAATTTGATTTGATGTTGTTGGTGCACAGTATTTACATTTATCACAGGGATCTCTCACTAGTCACTTACTTTTTTTCTACTCTTTATATTTTAAGAGTTGATTACTATGATTATTTGCAGCTTAATCACATTCATCACAAGGATAATTCACTCCTTTAAGTTTACTCTTAATACTAACTTTGTATTTTAAAACTTATTCACATATCTATATATAAATTTGGCTTGTCTGTCTGTCTGTTTGTATCCAATAAACGTCAAAACGGCTGAACCGATCGGGCCCACATTTTTTGTAGGACATCTAGGGACCCCAGGGAAGGTTTATGAATGATTGAAATTTTAAATATTTGTCTCAATCAAAATTCGATCTTCATTAAATTTTTTAAAATTTTGAAAATCCACGAAATTTTGTGTGAAAATCCGCGAATTATTTTTGTTTTGTTTTACGATGTACACAAAGAGAACATGTTCACAATTAATTAAGAAGATGGGCGCGAAGCGCCCTCTAAGGCTAGTATTACAAAGATATCTAACTCAAAGATATCTTAATGATTATTTCCGATATGTCTTCTCAGATCCTGTACTTTAGAAGCTGTGTATTCACATTTATCACAAGGATATCGCACACCTAAGTGTTTAACCTTAATATGGTCTCTGAGATGATTTGGCCTAGTAGCAGCGTATTCACATTTATCACATGGATATCTTACTCCTTCATGTTTAGTCTCAATATGTTTTTTGAGATTACCTCGGCAAGTTGCTGAGTATTCACATTTATCACAAGGAAATCTCAGTCCTTCGTGCACAGACTCTTTATGAGTTTTTAGATGAATCGGTCTAGTAGCCAAATACTCACATTGATCACAAGGATATCTCACTCCTTCATGTTTACTTTCCATATGTTTTCTAAGATCCCCAGCTGTAGTTAAAACATGTTCACATATAACACACTGATGTCCCCCTCCTTCGTGTTTCCTCTGAATGTGTTCTTTGAGAAATGTTGGTCTAGTTGCTGAATACTCGCATTTATCACATGGGTATCTCACCCCTTCATGTTTACTTTCGGTATGTCTTCTAAGATCCGCTGCTGTAGTTGCAGCGTATTCACATTTCAAACACGAAAATCCTCCTCCTTCGTGTTTAACCTTAATATGTTCTCTTAAACGAGTTGGTCTAGTTGCCAAATAATCACATTTATCACATGGATATCTCACTCCATCGTGTTTATTTTCAGTATGTTTTTTGAGATGACTTCGGCTGATTGCAGAGTACTCACATTTATCACAAGGATATCTCACTCCTTCATGCTTACTGTTAATATGTTTATTTAGATTACCTCTGCAAGTTGCAGTATAGTCGCATTTATCACAAGAATATATTACTCCTTCTAGTTTCCTCTTCTTGGTTATCTTTGATCCAACCAGCAGAGGATCCTCTTCATTGAGAACTATTTCATCTAAAATATACATTTTATTATACCCTGGGAATTTCACATTAGGAAAACTAAATCTAAACATGGAAATAATCACGCATTAAAGAATATAGTTAAACATTTCTGCTAATACTTTGAATCAAGATGCGTAGTCCCTATGAAGTTCCTACTTATGTCATTAAGTAAGAAAGAAGTAATGATATTCTATCATTACCTGTAATCTCAGTATTTTCCATCTTAACATCTTCTTCCTTTACATATACAGTACATGTATCCTCTTCAGTAGAAGGGGAGGGTACTTCATCCTTGATACAAATATTTTCTTCTTTAATCTCTTCCTCCTTGATTTCTTCTTCTTTTACATATACAGTACATGTGTCCTCTAAAATATAGTGCAAATATTACAAATTGACCATTAATTTAAAAGAGGGGTATGTCGGATGCACAATGATACCCTTTAAATCCATATTTAATCAGCAATGTGAAAGTTGTCGTCAACTTTCTAGAGTGGTAAATGTTGAATTCTCACAAATTCCCGAATGTTTTTAAAGGAGAAATGCGCAAGTCCCATCAAAGAGAAACCAATATAAAAAATAATCAAATGATGAAGGAGGAAATATGAATATACTAGAAATTCAGGGCGCGAAGCGCCCTTCTTTCTAGGCTTATAGGGCGCTTCGCGCCCATCTTCTATTTCAACTTTTAATTGTGGCTTTATCTCTGAACATCTTCTCTTTGTACAGTATAAAACAAAAACAAAAAAGTTTGCGGATTTCATAATATTTTTTGCGCATTTTCAAAATTTTTCAAAATAAAAAAATTTTAAACACACATTTTTAAAATTTTGATTATTCATAAACCTTCCCTGGGGTCACGTGAGGTCCCACAAAAAATTTGGGCCCGATCGGTTCAGCCGTTTTGACGTTTATTGGATACAAACAAACAGACAAGCCAATATTTAGACTAGAAATTCAAGGCGCTTCGCGCCCTTCTTTCTAGCCTTAGAGGGCGCTTCGCACCCATATTCTAAATTAATTGTGAACAATGTTCTCTTTGTGTACATCGTAAAACAAAACAAAAATAATTCGCGGATTTTCACAAAAAATTTCGTGGATTTTCAAAATTTTAAAAAATTTAATGAAGATCGAATTTTGATTGAGACAAATATTTAAAATTTCAATCATTCATAAACCTTCCCTGGGGTCCCTAGATGTCCCACAAAAAATTTGGGCCCGATCGGTTCAGCCGTTTTGACGTTTATTGGATACAAACAAACAGACAGACAGACAAGCCAAATTTATATATAGATTAGGCATTCATGAAAGGTATCGTTCTAAATCGGATTAATAATGTAGTTGTTTTCTTGATTTGGGGTAAAATACACTAGTCTTGCCTTTTTGTAGATCTAGAAGCAATACTTTAGACTTACCGGTGTTTTAATAAGTTTTGTGTGTTTTTTTAAATATCTGCACATCACCTCGAATTTATCCAAAACTCTTGTTGGAAAATTTTCAATGCAAGAAGATTTAATATTGATATTTAAATTACATTTTATAATTTTACCTTGATATGGTTCACTTATCTCAACCTTTACATCTTCTTCCTTTATATAAACAGCACATGTTTCCTCTAGAGTAGAGGGAAGAAGGATTGCATCTATGATATCAATATTTTCCATTTTTATTTTCTTTCTCTGGTTTTCGGCCATATTCTCTGGAATATTGTAATTAGTTGTAATGGGGATAAAACTTGTGAAAATTCTCAATGAAGTTGGAGAATATTATTTAAGGTTTCAAAACAAATAAAAACACCCAATTTTCTACAATGTTAAGAATTTGTAATTGAGACTTGATAAAAATTATTTAAATGAGAATTGTATTGGGCCATCAAAGTTTTTTAAAGAAGATCATGAATTACTAGCTTAGGAACCCAGCATTTCTCAGAAATCTAAGTTTTCCTATACACTGAGAACATTTTCGTAGCTCTAACAAGTTCCCGAATCAAAACTTGAGGCAAATCGGTCAAGAATTTTATGGGTTCTGATCGAACATACAAACAAACAAACAGATATTACTATTTTATGTAAGTAGATAATTGGACATATGAACAAATAGACAAACACAGATTATTACTGCATTAATTCCTGTCGGTGAAGAATTCTTACAAAGCGTAAACCCCTCAAAAGAAGTTTTTTGGAGTTGTTTCCGCGATTTCTGTGAGAAATATGGAAATCCCTCAAAACCCAGTTTTTGTGGGGTGCCCTCTTTATTTTGAGGCATTTCCTAAAATATTTTTAGCCGACAAATATTTTTAAGGGATTTCCCAGTATTTTTTAGGGATTTCACAATATTTTTGAGGTGTTTCCGCAAAATATTTTAGGCGTTTCTATATATTTTTAAACTCTATTTAGTTGAGGTGTTAGCTCTTTTTCTTTAAGGCGTTTACGCAAAATTTTTGAGGGGTTTCCGTACTTTTAAAACTCTATTTAGTTGAGGTTTTTACTTTTTTGGAGACTTTTCTGTAAAATTTTCGAGGGGTTTCTGTATTTTTGGAATCTTCATATTTCAAGCGATTCAGGTCGTCTTTAAGTCTTATCCTTTGTGGGTAACCCTGTAGTTGAAACAACGTGAAAGAATCAAATATTTGCCACAGAATACATTATTTGACTAGATATATTTAATTTTGAGAATTTACAGACCTATGATACTTTAAACTTGTTAAAGTTCAATATAAATTATATCATAGTATAATTCATTTTTACATATCTAATCAAAGGTAGTAATGATAGTGATTATCTATTCCTTTTTAAGCGCTTACTAATGATTTAATAAATCCTTTTTATTACGTGTTTAATCAATTTTACTGTGATAACCAGAAAATTCTGAAAAAGGAATATGACTTTTAAACTCAAGTTAGGACTTAAACTAGTTCAATGAACATTAGACATATCAATTGTACAGTGTAAATAGACCCATTTCACTTAAGTAGTGTTTTGCTAAGTTACCAGTAAAAATATTTGCTTTGTAACAAAACGCTTGAATATTGCTTCGTCTTTCTATTCCATTGTTTTCCGGTTATCGCTGTATGAAATATTTAACTTAAGGATTCTCCGGTACCAGTTCAAACGTCGGACCCACAAACGTCGGACGGTACAAACCTAAGACTTACAGACGTCGGACAGTAAAAACGTCGGACAGTACAAACGTTGAACCAGGACAAACGTCGGACTAGTACAAACGTCGGACCAGTACAAACGTCGGAACAGTACAAAGGTCGGACTAAGGAAAAAAAATTATTTGAACTTTAAGATTTTTTAATTAAAAAGTTATTTCCTTTATCGACTGGTCTAATTAAAAACTATCCAAAGGAACTGACTTCTTGCCACCAACTCAAATATTCTCATCCCTATATCTTTGCAACCTGGTAATTAACATTTAATACTTTTAAACTTAAACTGTATGATCTTATTGATTTCACAGGACAGGTTAAAATATTAAAGGTTATACGACGTCGGGTTTCAAAGATATAGAAATTTTGAAGCATTAGAGTTTGTGACAATTGAACCCAAATCCTTTATTGTCTGTTGTTTTATACAGTGCTACCTACAAAGGATGAGACTTTATTCAGTTGTCTTTGATTTTGAACACAATATGTGATTTTTAATTTATTTATTATAGCAACGGTCTTTTCCTTATAAATGTTCCCGTCCGACGTTTGTACTGGTCTGCCAATTGTACCAGTCCGACGTTTGTACCAGTCTGACGTTTGTACTGGTCTGCCGTTTGTACCAGTCCGACGTTTGTACCAGTCTGACGTTTGTAAGTCCAACGTTTGTAGTGTCCGACATTTGAAACATCCGCCGTTTGTTGGACTGACGTTTGTACTGGTACCGATTCTCCTTTTATTCCAAACACAATAATAACAATTGCATCAGACTCTTAATTCAGATTTTTTATTTTCAAAGACCATTGTTATAAAACAATAAAGAGGTCTTTCTGGTTTTTAAATCCCTAAAAAGGCGCGTTGAGTTAACCTAATCGATTATTTCTAAAATCATTCTTGAAACCAAAAAATGTTAATGTTGGTTTTTACAAGATAATGAGATTGAAGAGATTTCTGAACATGTTAACCTTCCTGGACATGAACTCTACCATCTAAAAATTAGCGTTCTAGAGAAGGTTTGGGACCACGGAAGAAGTTTACTTGAAGTACGAGAATCTAAATACATCAGAGATTTTATAACAGAACTCAGAGGAATGAACAGAAAAAAATAGTTTTACTTTAATTGTTAACTCTAATTCAGTATGTTTTAAAAAAAGAGTTTTTTTATGTCCAATTCTTTAAAAGGTTTAAATACCCCTCCTTAAACAAGCCGCCCCCCCTCCCCCTCCCCCCGACTTACGCAAAAGTTCGTTAATTAGATCGACCCCCACCCCGACCCCCACTCTATACACACACATCGACACAGTTTGTTTTTAATCTTTGTGAAGAAACAATCTCAAGGAATAATAATTGTCTAAAAACATTTTTTTAAAGTGAATATTTGCAAATTATCTTTTTTTCAAACTCATGATCTGTGTTCGTTTCCCTTTAGTCCATTTGACAGCCCAATTTTTTTTTAAATAATCTTTTTGTTTATTTTCCTTTGGTTTCATTTTTTTTTTTTATCGATTTTGATGGTTGTTATATCGTTAGAACTGAAGAGGGTCAACCCAGACCGAAATATATTTTCAATAAATGTGGAACTAACATCTACTTTTTTACTCTACAGAGGTTTGGTCCATCACCATCCGAATTTTAAATGAGATTTCTGAAATTACATGCATAATATACACGTAATTTTATTTTCTCGAGATTAATTAATTCAACCTATTCCTCCGTGTTTTTTACGAATGTGCTTCTTGAGATCACTGTTATTACTTGACCTATGTTCACATTTATCACAAGGATATCTTACTCCTGCGTGTTTACTCTTAATGTGTTGTTTTAACTGATATGCTCTAGCTGCAGAGTATTCACACTTATCACATGTATATCTTACTCCTTCGTGCTTGCTCTCAATGTGTGATTTAAGATGATTTTTCCTAGTTGTAGTGAATTCACATTTATCACAGGGATATGTTACTCCTTCGTGTTTACTCTCAATATGTACTCTAAGATTTCGTTCTGTAGAAGTAGAGTATTCACATTTATTACAAAGAAATCTGACTCCTTCATGTTTTGCCTCAATATGTGATTTGAGATGACTTTCTCTGGTTGAAGTGAATCCACATCTATCACATGGATATTTTAGTCCTTCGTGTACACTCTTAATATGAACTTTAAGATCTCCTGCTCTAGTTGCAGCGTATTCACATTTATCACAAGGATATCTCACTCCTTCATGCTTACTCTCAATATGAATTCTTAGAATACTTGCTCTAGATGCAGTGTACTTGCATTGATTACAAGTATAACTCACTCCTTCATGTTTACTCCTAATATGTACTCGAAGATAGCTTGCCGAAGTTGTAGAATAATCACAATGTTTACATGGGTACCTCAATCCCTCATGTTTGATCTCAATATGCAACTTAAGTTTACATGGATGAGGCGCCCTAAACTCACATTTATCACATGGATATCTCCCTTCTTCTGCTTTCCTTTGACTTTTTACCTTAGACTTGGGTTGCAATGGATCCTCTAAGATTTCATCTGAAAAGTTTCCAATTTGACAAAACAAATAGTGATTTTTTTTTATCAAAATACTAAGTAGGAAATCTTGCATCATTTTCTTGTCCGAAAACTGTTATTAAAAGCCTGCTGTTATAAATAATTACTTTATAAAAATGTGCCTCGCCCTTCTCCCTCAAATACCAATACAACAGCGGTATAAAATGATAAGATGAGATAAAACAGAAAAAGGAACAAAAAATTTATATTTACCTTGATTTTCAGTGATTTCAATCTTTACATCTTCTTCCTTAATATAGACAATATTTGTATCCTCTGTATCCTCTTCAGTAGAGGATGAGGTGATATCTTCTTGAATTTCTTCTTTTATTTCAACACTTTCCATCTTTATCTCCTCCATTCTTTCTAAAATTACATTATATATACAATCAAGAACTCATTGGCTCCACTTGTGCATTAAATCATTAAAGCTCATTGCTCATTGTTGAAAAAAAGGATTTTGGTGGCTATTGTTTGAAAACTTTTGTCATAAAGTCACTAAAGTTAAGATAATAGTCCCGGGAACTGGATTGGCAAGGGTCTGCAAGCTGCTGCTGCGAAAAACCATGTCCACCGAGGGAGGGACGTTAGGCACCGCACAAAATCTCGTTCGAGCCCCCCAAATTGATCGACCACATAAGCCTGTACATGAGATTAAAAAAGAACTCAATTTTATCCTATGTAGGGCTCGGCCGAGTATTTGTTAACTATCTGGGATCGAAACCTGGATTGCGTTGAAAAGAAGGAAATTTTAACGCGAAAACACTATTCACCAAATTGAAGTTACAATGGTGAAAATATAGCCTTATTGTGATCCCCTATTTTAATGTTTAAATATTATAAAATATAAATTAAATCTTCAGATGTGGAACTCGGGAAGATATTTTGCAACTACCAGGACTCGGACGAGAATTAGTGGGGTATTTATTATTTTTAAATATTGTTTACCTTGAGTTTCCATCTTTGTATCTTCTTCTTTTATATAAACAGTACACAAATCCTCTACAGTACATGTATTCTCAACAGTAGAGGAGGGAAGAATTTCTTCCTGAATCTTTCCTTTAATCTCAACATTCTCCATCTTTATTTCCTTCTTGAAGTTCCCGGCCATTTTTTCTGAAATAATTCATTGAAAGAATTACCAGATTTTAACATACTTCATCTAAACATTAACAAAGGGGGGTAATGACGGCTTCAAATAAAATTAACCTTTGAGTGGTTATTTCCTCATTTGAACTATTTTCTTTGAATATCAGGCTTAAAATCTTTAACTTTCATTAAAAAAAATAGGTTAAACAATCATCAAATTCAAATGAACATAGATTTTTCATTTGAACTATTTACTTTAGTAATTTGAATTATTTTTTGTTTTGTATTATTTCAGGGTTAGGAGAGGTTAAGACAGTTTTCGGGCCGAGCGCTACGGCTAGGACAGGCTAGTGGGCCGAGCGCTACGGCTAGGACAGGCTAGTGGGCCAGGCGCTGCGGCCACATATCCAACTATGTCCATTTGTCACTATAAATAGCCCAAACAAAAAAACTATTTCATTAAATTATTTTTATGTTCATGTAAACTATTTTATGATCATTCAGGGGCGGATACATGGGTGAGCAATGGAGCGTTCGTTCACTCCTGATGCTAGATTGCAGCAGGGGTGTATATTTTTCAGAATTTCACCCCTGATGAGACATCAAAAAGACAAATTTTTTCATTTTTTTTATATATTTTACCCATTAATTTCACCCGAAAAAATCATTTATTTTTCCCAATTCAGCGTAAAAACCCCATAAGAAAAATGATTTTCTATATGGGGGGGGGGGGGACGATTTTTTAGGATAATCTATGAGCTAGGGATGAGTTACGGAATAAAGCTAGAAGATTCTGAAATTCAAAAGTCGTTTAAGATATTTCATATAGTTAAAAATAAAAGACTCAAGATTATTTAGCAGTTTAATGACTGGGTATTGGGTACCAAAATTTCCACCAAATGATGTAAATTAATGAACCAGGTGAAGTATGACACTAATCTATAATAAGCCAACAAATAAACCCCTTCTCATAGAAATACGCCAATTCAGGTAGAAAGATAGATGGGAGAGGATCGGAGCATATTTACAGATATTCTCTTTCGGAAATATTATCATTTTAAAGTTTTAATCGAGATTTCGACGGTCTAAACTTATTTTCAATATTATTCCCTGTCACTTGTCAGTCTTTGTGTTCACTTTTACAATGCTTCCTCAGATCAATAGCTTTGTCCCCTATAAACTCACATTTCTCACACGGATACTTTGTCTCATGTTTCTTTTCAATGTGTTTCTTCAGATGACTTCTTGTAGTGGAAGCATATTCGCATTGATCACAAAGATATCTCACTCCTTCGTGATTAACTTTAATGTGCTGTAAAAGTGTTCTTGCCGAAGTTGTAGCGTATTCACACTTATCACAAGGATATCTTACTCCTTCATGTTTACCTTCAATATGATTTCTAAGTAAATTGGGTCTAGTCGTAGTGTAATCACACATATCACAAGGATATCTCACTCCTTCGTGTTTGATCTCAATGTGTCTCCGAAGATCTTTTGGAGAACAGAAAGTTAATTCACACTTATCGCAGGGATATCTCACTCCGTCGTGTTTACTCTGAATGTGTATTTTTAAATGATATGCCGACGATCCAGCGTATTCACATTTATCACAGGGATATCTTATTCCCATATGAATAATCTCAGTGTGTCTTTTGAGATCTTTAGCTAAAGCAGCAATGTATTCACATTTATCGCAAGGATACCTTTTTCCCTCATGTTTAAACTCAACATGTATTCTTAAACCCTGTGGTGTAGTTGCAGAGTAGTGACAACTAGAACAAGAATATCTAATTCCTTTATGTTTAATGTCAATGTGCCTTCTAAGATGACTTGTAGTGCCTCCTGTAAATGAGCACATAGAACAGGGATATCTTACTTTCTCTGATTTATTCTTAATGTTTTTTTGCATTGATTCTTCTTCATAATCCATCAGTTCATCTGAACATTAAATCAATATTAAAAACGGAATAAAATTAATTCTAACGAATAATAAACTGAGGGAAAAAAATCAAAAAGTATTAAAAAAGGTTTAATTAGTTAAATTGTCTGTTTGTTTGTGTAGAAATAAATTACTCTAATAAAAGTATTACATACAGTGCAGTGGTCGAGTTTTCTATTTGCTTCCTAATAAGCTTTTTTCAGATTATAAGTTTACGAGTAAACAAAGAAAAGCTATAAAATGTCAGCTTTTCTTTGCTGTTTGAGAGCTTGGAATTTAAAATTGAAATTAAAAGTCGTCTTCACTGTATTAATACAAACGACGACGACTATACTTAATTTTACATAAATTTTATCTTTACCTTTAATCGTTGTGGTTTCAATCTTTACATCTTCTTCCTTTATATAAACAGTACATTTGTCCTCTATGCTAAATGTATCCTCTCCAGTACATGTATCCTCTGCAGTAAATATATCTTTTGCAGTACATGTATCCTCTCCAGTACATGTATCCTCTACAGTAGAGGGAGATACTATTTCCTCTTTGATATTCATTTCTTCTTTCATCTCCAAATCTTCCATACTAACTCTAGCCATTCTCTCTGAAATAAGTACACTGTATTTTACAGTTTCTAACTTTTCCGGGATGAAATTCGTTTATGGAAGGCCAATGTATTTTCTAACAAACCCCTTATTTAAAAATCTACATGCGCAATTAACAACGGTCCGTTCAACCTTTTAAAAGGTAATGGGAAAATATTACAAATAAATTTAGTCAATTTGAAACCTTTTCTCTCTCCCGATTGAATTCAGTTTTTAAGCACCAAAACATGAAGTTGTATTTTTTTCTCAGACAAAGGATGAAAAGGTACCGTTGTGAATTTGGCATTAAACTCCTTATTAAATGGAGGGTCACTTGAATTTACGTCCCTAGCACCTTTAAAACATACACCCGACCAATACTGTTGATCATTTTACATAATGCATAGTTCCGGATCCTGAGAGAAAACTGTCAAGATTTGTGAAGTTGGCCGAGGGGTTAGAGCTTACACAGCTCTACCGAGGGGTTAGAGCTAACACAGCTCTACCGAGGGGTTAGAGCTAACACAGCTCTACAGAGGGGTTGGAGCTAACACATCTCTACCGAGGGGTTAGAGCTAACACAGTTCTACCGAGGGGTTAGAGCTAACACAACTCTACCGAGGGGTGGAGCTAACACAGGTCTACCGAGGGGTGGAGCTAACACAGCTCTACAGAGGGGTTGGAGCTAACACAACTCAACCGAGGGGTTGCAGCTAACACAGTTCTACCAAGAGGTTGGAGCTAACACAACTCTACCGAGGGGTTGGAGCTAACACAGTTCTACCGAGGGGTTGGAGCTAACACAGTTCTACCGAGGGATTGGAGCTAACACATCTCTACCGAGGGGTTAGAGCTAACACAGCTCTAGCTCTACCGAGGAGTTAGAGCTAACACAGTTCTACCGAGGCCTCAACATAGAAGCAATAGATGGGAACCATTATTATTAAATAGAAATTGACAAAAACAGTTTCACGAAAAATCTTATTTGTCTTAAATGAAGTTGTATAATAAGTACTGAACTTATTCTGCAATAATAGTACTGAAAATATGGCGTATTTGATCAGGTTTAATTTTATTACTTTTTTATTAAAGGAAACAATGTCGTATATTTCGATGATTTGAATTAATGAATATTGTTCCCTTTGAATCGACTTATACTCATAGTTTTAAATAGATATATCATCGTCTTGGAATCAAACTCTCTAATTTTATAACATTTACACTATTGAATTTAATCAGTATTTATAGAACTATCTAAAGCGTAAAGGAATTGATTCGTTGCCACAAACTCTGATTTTCTAATCCCTATTTCTGAGCAATCCAATGTTGTAGACCTTATATATTTCTAACTAAAGATTCTATATTATCAAATAATCTAAGTTTGAAATGTCAAAGGTTTAAACCATCAGGTTGTAAAGATATATAAAATATTTAATGTTGTGGCAAAGAATCAGTTCCTTTAATCTTGATTTTTCCTTCCACTTGGCAGTCTTTATGTTCACTATGAATGTGTTTCATTAGATCACTAGGTTTAGATGATATGTACGCACATTCCTCACAAGAAAGGGTTGTTTCATGTTTCCTCCGAATATGCTTCTTGAGATCTCTTCTTGTAGTTGCAGCGTATTCACATAAATATCTCACCTCTTTCGTGCTTTATTTTGATGTGTTGTCTTGCAGAATCTACAATGCATCCACATTTTTCATAAGACTATTTTACTCCTTCATGCTTGCCCTCAATGTGTATTCTTAGATTGCTTGCTGTAGTAGCAGCGTGTTCACATTTATCACAAGGATATCTGACTTCTTGATGTTTTATCTCATTTGGTCTTCTCAGATCTTTTGCTGAAGATAAAGTGAAATCACATTTATCACAGGGAAGTCTCACTCATTCGGGTTTACTCTGAATGTGTATTTTCAGATGACTTGCTGAAGTTCCCGCGTATTCACATTTTTTACAACCATATCTAACTCCCTCGTGTATAATCTCAATGTTTCATTTTAGATCTTTAGCTAAAGCAGAAATATATTCACATTTATCACAAGGATATATATCGCCCTCGAGTTTAAACTCAATATGTGGAGTAGATGCAAAGTAGTCACAACTAGTACAAGGATATCTAATTTCTAATTTATGTTTAATGTCCCCCAACATATCCTAGCCGCCCAGAAATTGGCTTAACTTAACATAACCCTGAAGTAATACTAAATAAATATTGTTAATTATGTCGAAAAATATTGGACATTTACAAAAATGATAGGAGGAGGGCTCCACGGTGGGGGGGGGGGGGGCAAAAAGCGTTCTCTAGGACAACCCATATAAATCAATGGACACCAGAATCCGTCATTTGTTATTGAGCCAATAAAATTAACTTTGCCTGGCGGGAAGAGAGGACCATAGTTTCCCAGATATTAGAAACACAGATTTATAAATAAATAAATAAATATAATACAGAAGAATGAACAGAAACAAGGTTGAAACAAGAAAACATTTGAAATAAATCTCTAGCACAGAAAAAATTTTCATTTTATGTTGGTTTGTGGTTAGGTTGGGTTTATGTAATTTTCAAGCAGATCGCTGTGACCAGGGCAGGCTAGGGGGCGGGGGCGAGTTCTTTGGCAAAAATAGGCTAGGGGGCCAGACCACGCGGCCGAGAAGGGCTATTAAGGAGGGTGCTGCGGTCGCATGTCCAACTTTGACCATATAAGCTCTATGCACAAAAATAAAAGGAGATGGGGTGCGGGAGGGGCCCGACCGGGTCCAAACAACGTTATCTTATAGCTGACTCAGGAAATAACCAAATTGAGTTCCTAGCTAATTCAGACGCATTAGGCTTGCTTCCTTCAACTATTAATATTAAATTTTTATCCCAATATTTAAAAGTACATTTATAGGAACGACACTACATCAAAACTAAATAAAATTAAAAGTAAATAGAGAATGGGCTTGTGCCGCGGAACTATTTCTTAGAAAAATTTCTAAATTAAAGACGACAAGTCCTTTTGTAAAATAAAAGCAGAAGAAAGGTGGTGTATTTTTCGACCCACATATATCCGCCATACTCCACTTCTAACCTACGCCAAATCCTCTATACTACACATCCGACCTAGCACGTAGTATTACAGCTGAGATATGGCCCCCTAGCCTATACTAGCCGCGGCGCTCGGCCCGGAGCCTGTCACAGACGATGAAAATGCCACACGGCCTATCCTTTTAGCCCTCTCCAGGGGCGTAAATAAGAATTCTGTAGGGGGGGGGGGGTAAATTTTTATTGTTTTAGATTTTTAGAGTTTTAGAATTTAGAATCATTTAGAATATGTTGACTTAAAATCTTAAATATCTGAAGTATCTGCACATTTAAATTATTTTTGTGCAAATTTTAAAGATATTTAATTTTTAAAATCAACCTTTTTTAAAAACAAATTCTAGGGGGGGGGGGGTAAAAAACCTTAAAAACCCAGCTCTATTTCCGCCACCATGAGGGAATGTCTTTTTTAGGGGGGAAGGCAACATGGAACTTGAAGGGGTAGTAAGTGCAGTAAGCCCTGCTATTCAGGCCTGAATTGTTCAGAGGTAATTACCTTCAAGATTCTGAGTGGGGACCCCCAGGATTCTAGGGGGGTGGGGTAAATAACCCAAATTACCCCCCTTATTTACGCCACTGCCCTACTTCCTAAATTCCTGTTGTCTACTCCTTACTCCCTAATCCCTACTCCCTACTCCTTACTCACGTCTCCCTTCTCCCTACTCCCTTCCTTATAAACACCCCTGCTATAGACTGCAATATACAAGGTTTCTGTGTGAATGCCAGCTCGTGCAAATTCGCAGAATATAATTGATTTCTAAAATATTAATATTATTTACTAAGCTGAGAGGGTTCCTCGTAACCTTGCTCCCCTCCCCTAAATGCCAAGCTATATAATTGATTTGACCCTTTGTCTGCAGGGACTCCTACACAGGTGTGTCTTCATTTTTCTTCAAGTTTTTCTCCACATCTCTTCTTTAAACAGAAATATTAGACATTTACTGAAATTAGGCCCATTTTAGGAATCCTAAATATTTCAGGAATCCTAAATATTTCAGGAATCCTAAATATGTTTTTGAAAATATTTAACAATTTTAAAATTATTTTTCTAAACATTTATAATTGGAGGAATTTTTCAAAATTCATTATTTGTGTTCAAGTTTTCTCGCGTCTTTTTAAACCGAAATATAGAAGACATATACTAAACAGACATTATACATACTTAAATAATAAAGAATAAAAAAATAATTAAAGATAGATGTTATTAATTAGTCTGAATTTTAAAGTGAGCGTCAACGTAACTTACAGTTTCCCCCCTTTTAAAAAAGTTGTATTTTAAATTCACAAACATCTGTTTTAGCAAAAAAACTGAAGATATCCTCATTTTCCAGCTGAAAATTGATTATTTTTTAAGTGAGGTTTCCTTGTAAAGGAGGCTTTGCGCATTTATGCTGCAGATACAAATAAGGATATTGTCAGAAATTACCACTTTTAAAGAGGAAAACAACGATATCGTTTCACGTCTGCATCGGACATGTCGCTCGAAAATGTTTGTCTACAGTCCATTAAACCCTANGGGGGGGGGTGCGTTTACATTTTTACTTTACTTCTCGTCTTATACAGGGTTACCCACAAAGCATGAGACTAAGATGACGACCAAAAACTTTATAAATATGACATATTTGGATGTGAGATTTGATCTTCTGTCTTCAATATGCCATGTTAGTGCGGATTAAATGTTTAGGAAAAGAAAGAAGCTTTTTTCTAGATGGAGGGATTCATGAATTCAAGAAAAACGACTCAAATAAAATACGAACAGTCGTCTCTAAAGTTACCCTGTGGATAAAACTCGCGGTATCTTGAAAAATGATGAATATATTTTGTTGGAAACATGCCGGGACAAATTAAATGCAAATTTTTGATGTATTTCATGAATAAACATATGTGTCGGATTTTTAATAATTTCACATTCTCTTCACATAAAAATATTCAGTAGAATTGATTGATTGATTGACTGATATTAACCCATGCACGAAATTGATCACTTCCTCCAACTCCTTTTTCAAAAATATTTCGAGGGTTTAAATTTTTTAGTGTTTTGAAAAGAAATGGAGATGAAATAAAATTAGATAAAACACCAATGTCAAATATACGTGCTGGAAAAACGTGTTGGAAAAAGGTTGAGTTATTTTCAACATTTTGGCGAAGCCCAATTTAAGCGAGAATTCGAGTTAATTGAAAATGCGGGAAAAAATTGATTTTCCAGCAACCCCCGCACCATGCCTTGCACTGCACTTGTCCATTTAGGCAGGATAAGAAACTTCCTTTTAAAGGAGACCAAACCAAAACCAAGTTTAAGAGTTTTACATATGTTTCTACATATTTAAAAGTTGTAATTGTATTTAAATGTTTGCTGTAAAAGTTTGTCACTAAAATATATAAATATATATATATAATACATTAAACCAACCTTACATATTTAGTCCTTGCTTCTATCATATGGATGATATGGTTTTACAAATACATCAGTTTCATATTGTGCAATTTGTTTTCTCTATTCAAGATTGCATTTCCAAATGTAAGCGCTTCTCTTGTCTGCATGTCTAGTAGACAATGTATACGTGTTTAGTATTTAATGTCTGCATGTCTTCTCTAAAATGTATTCATGTCTATTATACAATATCTGCATGTTACCTCTGAATGTCTACATATCTAGTATTGTGTAAATTTTGTGTATTGTGTTCTCTCTATTGTGCATTAACATTGAAGCTGTCTGTAAAAAACTAGACAATGCATGGTTTAGCGTATACAGATCATACAGAAAGTCACATCATGGGCGTATTGGGATGGGCCCGAAAGCCCCCCCCCCCCATATTTGGTTCCTTAAACAATTAACATTTTTTCCATTCTAGTTATTAGTCATTAGTAATGAATTTAATACTCTATTTTTTTCTTAATACCGTTTTTTGAAGGGGTGAACAACGAACGCTATGGGGGTTACAAAAAAAATTCACCACCCCCCCCTGGACTGTAAAACCTCCAATACACCCCTGGGTCAGATCTTGATGCATGAAGGTTATGTATGGTGTAGCAATGACTATGTAGGGAGTAGTCACACAGTAACTTATTTAATAATTCAAAATAATTATTGCTAATATAACAATATCAATTAAAATTTTATTCTATATTTATTAATGTTATACAAACCTTAGCAAATTATTAGCTAAGTAAAGGAACACTGTTAAAACAAACCTTAGCAAGATTATATTATTATTATTATTATTATTATTATTATTTTTTATATAAACTTTGGTTCACTTACTTTTATCCCCTTCATCATTTATTACATAAAAAATACAAGGAGATTTGTCTGAAATCAATGAAATTTTGCATGCTAATTTATTCCTTCTTTAATTACGTACATTTGTACAAAATAATAATTTAAAAATCTAAATTAATTTATTAATCACAAAATAATCCTTATGTTAACATTTTGGTAGATTAGCCCTGATGCTGTGTAGTATCTGCCGGAAACCTGAGTTTGGCGGACAATGTGATTGTCTGGGACGGATATTTAGGATCTAATGAGACGATCTCCTTGGTTTTATCTGAACCTAGGAGAGAAGATAAACTCAGCTGAACCTCACCAAGGGATTTTCCTAAACACAAGGAAATATCTTCTTTGAGTTTTGTCAATTTAAAACTTAATTTAACTTTACTAGACGACTTTAAACTATTAAAACTATAATTTTGATCCTCTACTTACGAATACGATATATTTATTCTTTTGGTATAGATGTACAAATTTGTACGATGATAATAAACTCGTCTTCTATAAACGCGGCATTTACGCATAAACAAAAGATTGAAATGAAAACCAAAATATTTGTCCAAAACAATGTTAGAAATTGTCATCATATTAAAAAAAAATATATCACTGAAGCACACATTATTAAGGTTGTTTTAAATTCTTAAATGGTCGTGAGAATCACGTTCTAAATCTTCAGTAAAAAGATTTTTATAAACATTTAAATCTGAATGTGGGAGATCGATTTCATTATTGGTTTTTTAGTTCAATAATTAAGAAAAAGGTAAGAAGCTTAATCTCAAGAAATATTAGTTTTACTTACTTGACTCAGTATCTTCCAGTTTAATAGTTAAAGATTGAGTTTTCCAGTTTTGTTGAAGACTGAAACTTGTTCCAAAGTTGAAACTAGCTTGCTGGGTGTCCCTGTGCATACAATTTACAGTATTTCATATGTACATATGTACGTGTCCAGTACTATATAAATACGTTTCAGTCGATCGTATCTACGCCATTTAGGTCCAAATTCAGTTACGTACATGTCAATATAAAGTATATTGTCCTAGCATAGGTCAATGTACAGTGTATTTTATACTTACTTATGAGTGTTCAATGTATGTACTGTCTACGTGTACTTGTCAGTTTACAATGTACTGACTAGGTGTACTTGTCAGTGTACAATGTACTGACTACGTGTACTTGTCAGTTTACAATGTACTGACTACGTTTACTTGTCAGTTTACAATGTACTGACTACGTGTACTTGTCAGTGTACAATGCACTGACTACGTGTTCTTGTCAGTGCAAAATGTACTGTCTTCGTGTTCTTGTCAGTGTACAATGTACTGTCTATGTGTACTTGTCAGGGAACAATGAACTGTCTACTTGTACTTGTCAGTGAACAATGTACTGTCTGCGTGTTCTTGTCAGTGTACAATGTACTGTCTATGTGTACTTGTCAGGGAACAATGAACTGTCTACTTGTACTTGTCAGTGAACAATGTACTGTCTACTTGTACTTGTCAGTGTACAATGTACTGTCTACGTGTACTTGTCAGTGAACAATTTACTGTCTACTTGTACTTGTCAGTGTACAATGTATTGTCTACGTGTACTTGTCAGTGAACAATGTACTGTCCACGCGTACTTGTCAAGTTGTCCGTTTATAATGTACATACAGTATACAAATATATCAGTTTACCATGTTCAGTCTATAGTACATGTCAGCATTTATAAATTACTGCACTCGGTACATGTCTATGTACAGCGGTACTGCCTATGTACATGTCAGTGTGTACAGTTATACTTTATAAATATCAGCGTGAATGTTCAACAGATTTGTACTTTTATTGAAAAATGCACATTTTTTCTGTGATTTTTGGTAAATTATCTCCATGTGCAGAGTCTGAAACTTAAGAGAGTTGGTAAAAAAACAAAAACTACTTTTTCTTTGGTGTAGAGTGTTGCAATACTTCCTTTGTACTATTAGGATATAACTTTAATAAAACTGTGTTTATAGTTTTTCCAACTCAGATTAACCCCACTAAAACCTTAACAAATGGGCGACCTCAATATTGAAACTGAGTTTCAAAAGTTGCCTACTCAATGCTTGGGTATCAAACTGTTTTATAATTTGTGAATTTACCAAGACTCTGAAACTTAAGAAATTGCATGACCACGAAACTTGGTTTTGTGGTTTGGAGTAGAGCTTGAGGATTGATCAATTACCAACGGTTAAATATCGATAAAATCTTATCTAAACCAAAAGTGCCACCACAGTCCAAAATACTTTTTATTTTCCACATTGGATTTAGAACCATGACATGTCTATATAGGGATTAACCTTAAGATTCCACCTCTCTGTGGGTGGATGGATCGTGGGGCCCTAAAATGATTTGAGTCACATTGTAAAAAAGTTCACATGCCGCGGTTATTATACAATTCCGGAACCTAGTCGCCATTTTAATATCTTAAACCTAGACGAAGCTCATCACCAGGGATGGAGTTTAGAGGAGTAGGGTCGTGTAAAAGCTAAGCCCTTACCCCTGGAAAAGTAGCCATTGGTATTTTCAGGGGATAAGATCATAAGATCGGCCCCTCCACTTGAAAAAAATCCTTTATACGCCCCTGCTTACCGCATTTTTGGTGGAAGGGGGGGGGGGGGGGGGGTTAAATTTAATTTCCCGTTTTTTGTTAGTTTCAACGGCAATATGTGAGAAACAAATGTTTAAACCTTTTAAGATGAAATTAAAAATGTTACATAAAAATACGATCGCAAAGCTCTAAAAGCAGGTCTAAAAGTCTAAAATTTTAAAACAATTGAAAGAATTTTAAGGTTTGGTCCTTCGCCACTTTGAATCTTGTTTGTTTTGAGGGGTTCATGCCATTTTTAGCACCTCAATAAAAATATATCGCCCACGTTCTAATCTGGACGCAAACTGCAGTTTTAGTGTGACCTATACAATATACAATTTATACGCAATTTAATGGACTCTCAAGCCTACAATTTTCAATGTGATCAGGTTAGATTATTTACACTAACAGGGTGTCCCAAAACACTATCAATAGAACTGTTGACATCATTCTACGTGAACCTCTGACTTCGAGATTGAGAAACAGTTTTCGGAATTCAACATTTTGCACTCAAAAAGCACGACGATATTTCCACATTACGGATATCAGATAAAGGTTTCAAGGGTCCACGATCCACCCCTTATAATTTGGAGAATCATATGAAAACTTTACAATGACATTCCCTGTATGAAGCGGTTTAGCAACTATAAGTTTCCTTTAATCACGGAATAAAGATATTGCAAACAAAATGCATAAATATGCACTTTTGAATATTTTCCCTGGTTTAGCAACGCAGCAAAGTTTTCAATCTTTTATTCTCTAAATTCTCGCATGAAAGATAGCAAATGTAATGAAATAGGAAACTATGGATGATTTTTTAATCAACTAACCTGGCAATTTCGCTCTGCTGAGTATAGTTAGCGACCATGATGCTGGCACGCGGAGAGGGGATGTGAGATGCCGCTAATCCAGTTCCATCAGAATACTTTAAAATTAAAATGATTTTTAAGTTTTATAAAAAAGAAAAGAACTCATTCTTCAGTGATTTAGCATGAAGAAAAAAGAACTTGCAGTTGTAAGGCAAATATTTGCAATGCGGAAAAAATTGCAAGGCAACACTTTAACAGTTGGCACTATGCCATGGGACAAAGTTGCCAAGTAACCATTTTTCCAAGTAAACTTTGACATGTGACTGCTTTGACAATTGACAATTTTCCCTGTTGACAAACATGTCAGTTGATAATTTTGCCAGTTGACAGGTGGCAATTTGCCAGTTAACAAATTGCCACTCAGAAAATACAAGCATTTTAACCTAGCAAGATTATTAGCTATGTAAAGGAACACTGTTAAAACAAATCCTTAGCAAATTATTAGCTCACTTAAGGAACACTGTTAAAACAAACCTTAGCAAATTATTAGCTCAGTTAAGGAACACTGTTAAAACAAATCCTTAGCAAATTATTAGCTCAGTTAAGGAACACTGTTAAAACAAACCTTAGCAAGATTATTAAGTATAAGGAACACTGTTAAAACAAACCTTAGCAAGATTATTAGCTGAGTAAAGGAATACTGTTAAAACAGCTTCAGTGGATCCAGGGAAAAGCCTTGATGTCGCAGATCCTAAAATAAAAAAAAACATTTTTAAAATTTTCTTTTTTTTGGGTTTATAAGTTTTAGAGGGTTACCCAGAAAAGATGAGACTTCGAAGACGACTGTACGGACCTTTTTGAGTATTTTTTTACATTAGAATGGTTTCCGGTCGTTTTTGAAGTCTCATATTTTGTGGGTACTCAGCTGAACCTGGAGTTGAGATTAAAGGTTGCCAGGCCATTTCCAATTCAATTTCTCCTCCCAACTTCTCATATTTAGATTTCCGTCCAGGCACTGCCTGAAGGGTGGCTTGGACCAATCTAATACTAACAGTGATTAGGCTTGCTACTAACTCCTCAGTTTTTTTCATTTTAAGAAATTTTGATAATAATAATCAATGGGATGGACCAGTGGATGAATTAGTCTGGTCCATAGAATTGATTAGAATGGTAGATAGGATGGATTAGAATGGTTCATGGGTTTGATTAGTCTGGTCCATAGAATTGATTAGAATGGTAGATAGGATGGATTAGTCTGGTCCATAGAATTGATTAGAATGGTAGATAGGATGGATTAGAATGGTTCATGGGTTTGATTAGAATGGTAGATGTGATGGATTAGAATGATCCATAGTATTGATTAGAATGGTAGATGGGATGGATTAGAATGGTCCATAGTATTGATTAGAATGGTAGATAGGATGGATTAGAATGGTCCATGGGATAGATTAGAATGGTCCATGGGATGGATTAGAATGGTTCATGAGATGAACTAGAATGGTCTATGGGATGGATTAGAATGGTCCATGGCATGGATTGGAATTGTCCATTATAGAATTGATTAGAATGGCTCATGGGATGGATTAGAATGGTCCAGTGGATGGATTAGAATGATCCATGGGATTGATTAGATTGGTCCAGTGGATGGATTAGAATGGTCCAGTGGATGGATTAGAATGGTCCAGTGGATGAATTAAAATGGTCCAGTGGATGGATTAGAATGATCCATGGGATTGATTAGAATGGTCCAGTGGATGGATTAGAATGGTCCAGTGGATGGATTAGAATGGTCCAGTGGATGGTTCAGTGAATGGATTAGAATGGTTCAGTGGATGGATTAGAATGATCCATTTGATTGATTATAATGGTTCAGTGGATGGATTAGAATGGTTCAGTGGATGGATTAGAATGATTAATTGGATTGATTAGAATGGTTCAGAGGATGGATTAGAATGGTTCAGTGGATGGATTAGAATGGTTCAGTGGATGGATTAGAATGACCCATAAGATGGACTAAAATGATCCATTGGATGGACTAAAAATGTAAAGAACTTGCCAAAGTCCATGTGTTTTCACGGTCATAAACCATAAGAATTAATCAACTTATCGCGAGGACTAGATTACCTGGATTGCAATGGCTGGCTGCTAGGTAGAGGGGTTGACTGATCACTGCCTAATGCGGCTGAATTTGATCCCTAAATTTTTTTTAAATAAAAAATATTTTTTTTTAAATGTCTTCGATTTTTTTTCAGTTCTGTACTACAACCAAATTGGGACATGCCAATATCAAACTAACAGAAAGTTTTTCTTTGACTTGAATCTTTTTCATTTGTGAGTATCTAAATAATACAAAGCTTCATCCACATACTTTGCTTGTCTGTCTTGGGGTATGTTTGTTTGTATCAAATAAACGTATAGTTGGTGGAAGGTTGAACCAAACCAGATTAGAAATAAATGATGGAGACCACTTCTTCAGTAAATATATTTCGAAATTTCCTTGATGTCCTCATCAGTACTCTAGGTTGGGGGTCAAATAAACGTAAAAACGGCGGAACTGATCGAGCCCAACATTTTTAATGTCCCCAGGGAAGGTTTATGGTTGGTCGAAGCTGAAAATTTTGCACGAAAATAATTTTGCATATTTTTATCGGAAAAATCCGCGAGAATTTAAGAATTTAAGAGTTCGAAGCTAAAATTGGGTTTGAGAAATGGGCCGCGAAGCTCTAAAAAAAGCCTAGCTACTATAAAATTTATACCTTAGTTATTTGTGTAGTAAGAAAATGAGGCTGTTGCATAAAGTTCTTGACATCAATAGCAGCATAACCCAGGAACTCATCTTTACTGGAGTGATCTTTATCATACATATTTATCTCAAGGATATGTCCGTCCAATAGTTCCAGCGGAAATTCATACCTGGACAAAAGGAATATTTTTAGCACTGTACATTTTTTAGCTCCTAAAATGAGAGAGATATATTTGTTTTACTATCTGAAAATTGTAATTATACGGCTATACATTTTGACATCGACAATGGTTTTGTTTCCTACAAATCGTTCACATTTACGTTAGTTTTAAAGGATAAATCAGAGGTGTAGTGTACACCGGAAACATGGGAGAACATTTGTTTTCATGTCAAACTAAATTTTGTATTGTAATATTCACCGTAATCCAACAAGAAGGAGATGGTTCATTTTATGTACCGTTTTACTCTGTCTATATGTAGTCTGAATGTATTCTGTATAACTTGCTTTAGCTGCCTAAAAGTCGGCCCTGTACATCAAATGAACCGGAATTTCAAATCAGAGTTGGTTATTACCATTCCTCCCATGTGGCCTCTACAGTATTCTTGACAACTGTTGACCTCCACTCCTGACCTCCGACTCCGAGGATGCCAAATACGTCAGGTTTATCCTGACCTACCAGTTTCCTCACTCCACCTCGCCTTTACAAAATACATCACGTTAAACTAAGGTAAATTTCACGTAAAATTGCAATCAATCATAAATATCATAAATAAATAAAAAAATCAGAAATAAATAAAAAAATCAGAAATAAATAAATAAATTATTGTAAAGATATTGAGAAAAAAACAAAATGTCTTGAATAGCTAATGTATTTAACCGAATACATTTGTTTTCTCATACTTGTGAGTAAAATCAAAGCTACAGGAGCTACAAGGACACAAAGTCGTACCAATAAAGTCATATAAAATATCAAAAATTATTATTAAATTATTAATAATTTATGAGCCAAAAAATTCTTAGTAGTCCCTTAAACTGATCTAATAAATAACTAATAAACTAACCTAGGTAGTCCATTAACAGATATAAACTAACCTGGGTAGTCCATTAACAGATCTAAACAAACCTGGGCAGTACTTTAACAGATCTAAACTAACCTGGGTAGTCCATTAACAGATCTAAACTAACCTGAGTAGTCCATTAACAGATCTTAACTAACCTGGGTAGTCCATTAACAGATCTAAACTAACCTGGGTAGTCCATTAACAGATCTAAACTAACCTGGGATGTCCTTTAACAGATCTAAACTAACCTGGGTAGTCCATTAACAGATCTAAACTAACCTGAGTAGTCCATTAACAGATCTAAACTAACCTGGGTAGTCCATTAACAGATCTAAACTAACCTGGGTAGTCCATTAACAGATCTAAACTAACCTGGGTAGTCCATTAACAGATCTAAACTAACCTGGGCAGTACTTTAACAGATCTAAACTAACCTGGGTAGTCCATTAACAGATCTAAACTAACCTGGGTAGTCCATTAACAGATCTAAACTAACCTGGGTAGTCCATTAACAGATATAAACTAACATGAGTAGTCCATTAACAGATCTAAACTAACCTGGGTAGTACTTTAACAGATCTAAACTAACCTGGGTAGTCCATTAACAGATCTAAGCTAACCTGGGTAGTCCATTAACAGATATAAACTAACCTGAGTAGTCCATTAACAGATATAAACTAACCTGAGTAGTCCATTAACAGATCTAAACTAACCTGGGTAGTCCATTAACAGATCTAAGCTAACCTGGGTAGTCCATTAACAGATATAAACTAACCTGAGTAGTCCATTAACAGATATAAACTAACCTGAGTAGTCCATTAACAGATCTAAACTAACCTGGGTAGTACTTTTACAGATCTAAACTAACCTGGGTAGTCCTTCAATAGATATAAACTAACCTGGGTAGTCCTTTAACAGATCTAAGTTTAACTCCAAGTATGCCTGATATCTGTGGTTGCCAGATCATCTGTGGATCTGCCGTCCAAGAGAGAGGAATTGTAATCCTGGAAAGAAATGAGTCTTTGCCCAAAACTCAAATTTTCTGATCCCTATATCTTTGCAACCTGATGATGCAAACTTTTGATATTTTAAACTTAGATTATTTGATCTACCAGAATTCATAATTTGAAATATCTAAGGTTTACTACATTTGGTGGCAAAGATATAAGGATTAGAAAAACAAAGTTTGCGACAAAGACCTAATTCATAAATGTTTTCATTAAAATCTTAGATTAAGAAAATTTATCAATTCAAGATGGAGACATTATATTTATTATCCCAACCTGTTCGGATAAACTGCATGCTTATTTAGATCTTCTAGAAGATCTTCTTTGATCTTTGCCTTGATAACAGGAAGATCAGCGATCTTTGCAAGTCCGTCAAAGTCGAAATCTATTTCTGGTTTAGTGAGGAAGAAGAACTGTATCCCTCCGACCAGAGGAAGTTCACTCATAGTTGGAGACAGAACAAGTCTACCCCGTCCTCCCAATTTTACATTCCTTAGCAAGCAGGAAAATATATTTTTACATTCCTTGGCAAGTAGGAAAATATATTTTTTACATTCCTTGGCAAGTAGGAAAATATATTTTTTACATTCCTTGGCAAGTAGGAAAATATATTTTTTACATTCCTTGGCAAGTAGGAAAATATATTTTTTACATTCCTTGGCAAGTAGGAAAATATGTTTTTTACATTTCTTGGCAAGTAGGAAAATATATTTGTTACATTCCTTGGCAAGTAGGAAAATATATTTTTTACATTCATTGGCAAGTAGGAAATTATATTTTTTACATTCACAAAGGAGTTAAGTCTTTGCAACACAAGGTTGAAAAGATTACAAAATTTGAGTTTGTGCCAAAGACTCAATTCCTTTTAGAATTTGAATGTATCAGACTTAAATCTTTGAAGGGCATTCTGAGCTGAAAACTTTAGATATCGAGATCAATGCTAGATCTTCTCTTTTTATTAATCTCAAGATTAGACTAATCTTTGTTTTTATCCTTGAAAGTGCATAAAATTTAACCAATCAGAGTGTCCATTGGAGAATCCGGACAGCCAATCAGAAGCCATAACATTCTGAAATGTTGCGCATTTGTTGCAATCCAGCAGGGATATCCAAAAGAGAGGATTAAGAAGAAATTCACAAGTGGATACAGTGATTTATCAATCGGCATTAAGGGTTTCCAATTCTAAAGTTTTCAGCTCAGTACATTGTAATAAATGTACAGTTTGTACAGTTTGAACCCACCTGACCCCACTAGAGACACCTAGGATTGAAACTTGGATATCTCCATCACCAATGTACACCAGATCAAAATCCATTGTTATCCTATTTAAATCAGACACTGCACTATGGGTCCTAAACATAAATTAGATTGAATGAGATTTAGAGAACGTAATTCAATAAAATAAATATAAAAATCCCAGCTCACCTAAAGTTGCAGTTTAGGAGTAAAATAAGAAAAGAAAGTAAAAAGTGTATGGTCTTGAGTCGGACGAAAAGCAGGTGTGGTACACATATATATATGTTTATAAAAGACCCAAAATTTTTCCAATTGTTCTAAAAAAATGTTATTTCTTCACATCTATCTTTTTAACAAAAGTGATTTTAAAAATCTTTCAAAGCACAACAGTTAAGCAATACTAACATCGTACATTGTCATCCTTTGCTTCATCCTATAACGTATTTACAGTACTTTTTTAAAACACACTATGAGTTTGAGTGCAGTTAAAACTTTGAAGAAAAAAAAACAATTAAAAAGATGGATGGAAAAAGTTCGAGAACGTAGTGTTTCCCATATTTGAAATAAGAAAACTATTCATGACCATATTTGAACAATTCGAAGACACCTTGCATGATTTCGTGAAATATGAAGATTATGTAAATTGATTATAACGGAGGGGGGGGGGATACAAAAGAAAATATTTTGAAATAAATATTATTATTATATTATTATATATCATTGTCTTTTCAGATAGGTTACTTCAAGTGCAAATATTGACTTATTTTATCCATGGGTTAAAGTCAGGGCTTAAAGTTAAAAGACTTTAAGTGACCCTCCATTTAATCACTACGGTAATTTTGAAACCTTAATCTAATTAAAAATGTAGTTTTTAGAGCTTTAAAAGTGATTAATTCTGTCAATTTTTCCATTGTTTCTGAAGCAAGAAATGCGCAAGTGACAAGACTACAATTTGTTTTCAAAAACAAAAACATGGATATCAATTCATACTTGATCAGAAAAAGCTTTTAAGGGTACAGTTGGGAATCGGATATACCTCGCTTTCAAGGGAGAGTCACTTGAAACTACGTTTACAGTCCCTTTAAGTGATCCCATCTTTGGCTTAATGACGTTCTGACTGACTACAGTTGGTTATTAATATCCTAATTTTGCATTTTAACGCTAGATAGGCCTATATAGTCCTACATAGTATATATTCCTGCTGCTTGCATGTATAAGCAATATTAGCTGAAATTTTGTGTAAACCCATAAGCTCATCCATGAAAAACATAATGGATTTTTTTTATCACCACTTAAACTCCAAACCCTGAAGTTTCAGATATTGCACACTTTGCTGGGTTTTGCAACATTTTAATCTTGCAATGAAAATTGGCCGAACCTTCTTTAGCCGAATTCTACGTGGAATTCTGCACTTTGCAATATATATACATGTGCATTAAATTCATTATACTCCCCCATTCAGCAATTAGGAACGTTTTAGCAGGTTTATATAATAGGATGAAGATTTATTTCTAATATTCTACTTTTAAATCAAGCAAATTCACCAATTATAATAAGAGTTCTAAAACATTGAATGGGCAAAAATCAACGGCATGGGGGGGGGAAGGAAAAGTAAGTGCCCCTTCTGTAGAATTCTTAAGAGAGAGGGGGGTTAGCGGGTACCCCCCCCCCCCTGCTTTCTAGAAATATACTTTTTCTCTCTTAAAACTGTAGAACACAAACAAAGCTGGATTTCCCTTGGAAATACACACATTTAACAAAGTTGGATTTCCCTTGGAAATCTACACATTTAACAAAGTTGGATTTCCCTTGGAAATCCACACATTTAACAAAGTCTTTGCAACAAATTCTTTCAAAAGGAAAGCAAAGAATATTTAAAGTTTATGAGTTTCTGTTTCTAAAAAACAAGAAATGGACACCTTTGTAGAGAAACCACAAATTAAAATAATAAATAATTCAAAAAACAAAACCGTACTTGATCAGAAAAAGCTTTTGAGGGTACCGTTGTAAATCAGGCGTTGCCATCTTTGCATTTAGGGTCAAATTAAATTGCGCTTACAGTCCCTTTAATTCAGCCAAATTTTAATAAAGTTTATCATTTAGCTAGCTAAGTTCTACATTTTGCATTAAATATTTGCACACATGTTTCCTTGCATACAAATTTAATATTTTCATAAAGAAAGAAGTATGTATAATGAAATTACAAATTATAAAAAATCTAATTTAAATAGTGCTTTTGATTAAAATTTTACAAATAATCTACCAAGGAACTGAGTTTTTGCCACAATCTTAAATCTCGGGATGAAAAGATAAAGGGATTGAAATAATCAGAGTTTGATGGCAAGTACTCAGTTCTCAGTTCTTTTTTTGTGATTTTGACTTTTTGCTACACCGTAAAGTTTAAGAACCACGATAAAGATATGGGTATAAATTATCGTAATTCAGGTTATTAATTGAAATTTTGTACCTGATATTTGTGATTTTTGGACGGACTTGTCCCAAGTTGATCCGAGTAAACTTAAAAGCTTTCCGTCCAAGGTTTAGAGTTGCAAGAGCACCCTGTACTAAGGGTTCAACCTGGATATAAGAAACTATATATCCGTCCTAGGTTCAGGGTTGCTATATTTCCGGACAAGGTTTTGTATTTTATTTTTAGTCAATTTTTTGTGAGTTGTTTTTTTCATTTCTTTAAAAAAATTTTAACAAGTTATCTTCTATCGGACCATTTTCTTTCTATCCTACGGGGTAAAGTCAATCAAATTTATTTATTTCTGTTAGCTAAGTATACTCACAAGGATAAACAACATTTTAATTTTTTTGTTTGCACTTGAACAGAGTAAAAATCTCCAAACTTTCAACAAGTTTAAATTTGACTCTGATATGGTTGACTCTGTATTTAAAGCTTACCCTTGAGTTTAGAACCCTTGTTCCCATCTCACTCACCCTGTAAAAATATATAATTAATATTTACAGTCTAGCGATGTACAGTTAGACCCATACTAATGTGGAATAGGACTTAGGACTCAAGTTCTGATCTAAAATAGTTCAATAAACAGGAGACACAGAAATTGTGCAGTGTACACAGACTCATTTCACTTAATAAGTTGATTTTTAGATAAAAACTGCAAAAGTTTACTTAAATGCTTTCTAACTATTCCACAGTTTTTTGGGTGTCACTGTAGTATCCTTAGAATCTAGAGGATCCTAAATGATAGGATCCAATCCATTTGGAAGAAATTTGGGATCTGGATACACCTCCTGAATATTTTTTTTTATTAGTCGTCTTGTTTCGCAAAATTTGTATGCCAAAACTTGATTCACCATTCAGAGATCTGAGGCTGAATTTTAAAGAATTTGAGCTGCGTCTCAAATCTAAGACACTGCATAAAACATTGTCGGTTCCAATTGAAATTGTATTCAGTGTTTTGGGATTTGAGCCGGCGCGCTCAATTGGAACCGGTGTTTCTGGGCTCTGAACGTAAATCAAATGCAACAAGTGCCGTCAGCTTTTATGATTAATTTTATTATAATTTTATGTTTTTTTACAGGAATTTTAAACAATAAGATCTTTCATACTTCTTGATTTTTCGATTAAAATGACGATTTTTTAAACTTATTTGAAACTCTCTGTTTTACTCTAGAACCTAAACAAAGAATGTAATTCTATGCAAATCAATAAAATGACGTAATGAGACAATGTTTACAAGGTTGCTACCTCCAAATCTTCATGGTTTATGAAGTTTTGATTTATAGACTTTAAATACGAAACAAATTGGATTTGATAAAATCTTTACATGAATAATAATATAAATAAGTTGACAATAAATAAAGTGAATTTTACAATTTAGAGTTTAAAAGAAACATAACTATGAACTATCAATTACTGCATATGTTTTATTTCAAATAAAACTTTTAAAAAACAAAATAATTATAATAATAAACTTCTTTCTTGTTTTTTTTTCCAAATCGATTAAGTAATCAATTTAGAAATTGATTTAACTAACTGCTATTTCCAAAAATTGGGATACGAGGTAGGATAAATAAGTTTTGAATTTTTTTAAGGGTCTAATCCAGACGTTTTAGCACAGAAAACAATACCTTGGTGAGAGTTGACCAAGAAGAGCTAAGAACCAGGCGTCCTGGCCTGCCGCCCCAGCCTGACCAGCTGATTCCACCTGCAGGGCCGCCGTCACCAAGCAGCTCAGCACTGTACAGTGTACATAATATACATGATAAATACGGGATATGTTTGCTGGGATTGGTCAGCTAAGATATTCTAAAGGGACTGTGTACTGAATTGTAAGCGACTCATCCTCTTTTTAAAAGAGTCTATCTAATTAACAATGGTATTATTTAAACCTTTCCCTATGGAAATATGATAGGGATATACTTGTTTCTCTCTCTAATTAAAAAAGTGCTAAAATACCCTCCATGCGAAGATGGCAATGCCGATTTACAACTGTACCCTTGAAATCTTTATCGGATCTATAATGTGGAAGATATTGTCGTTTTTCTAGATTTAAAAGTATTTAATTAAGACAATTCCGATATGTCAATTCCATGGTAGTAGAAATGCACAAGTCATTTTTGTGAAGAAATCAAAGTCGAAAATAATCATTTCTCTAAATTTTAAATTTTGAAATCCAATTCATGTATGATCAGAAAAAAACTTTTAAGGGTTCGGTTGAAAATCGGGCATTGTCATCTTTGCATTGAGGCTCACTAAAGATTACGCTCACAGTCCCTTTAAATATTCTAGTTTTTATAATCTCACTTACTGTCCCATTGAATATTCTAGTTTTTATAATCTCACTTACTGTCCCATTAAATATTCTAGTTTTTATAATCTCACTTACTGTCCCTATTCTAGTTTTTATAATCTCACTTACTGTCCCTTTAAATATTATAGTTTTTATAATCTCACTTACTGTCCCTATTCTAGTTTTTNTTATCAGGATTATCTGTATTATCTGTGTTATCTGTATTATCTGAATTATCTGTATTATCTGTCTTATCTGTATTATCAGGATTATCTGTATTATCTGTTTCATCTGGATTATCTGCATTCTCTGTATTATCAGGATTATCTGTATTATCTGTATTATCTGTATTATCTGTATTATCTGTATTATCTGGATTATCTGGATTATCTGGATTATCTGTATTATCTGTTTTATCTGGATTATCTGTATTATCTGTATTATTTGTTTCATCTGGATTATCTGTATTATCTGTATTATCAGGATTATCTGTATTATCTGTGTTATCTGTATTATCTGAATTATCTGTATTATCTGTATTATCTGGATTATCTGGATTATCTGTATTATCTGTGTTATCTGTATTATCTGAATTATCTGTATTATCTGTGTTATCTGTATTATCTGAATTATCTGTATTATCTGTATTATCTGTATTATCTGTATTATCTGTATTATCTGTATTATCTTCATAGTCAGTATTATCTGTATTATCTGTATTACATGCAGTATTATCTGCATTATCTGTGTTTTCTGTATTTACATTTGTATTATCTTTATTATCTGTACTACAGTAGTATCTGTATTACAGTATTATCTGTAGTATTATCTGTATTATCTGTATTATCTGTATTATCTTTATAATCTGTATTATCTGTATTGTCTGTTTCATCTGGATTATCTGTATTATCTGTATTATCAGGATTATCTGTATTGTCTGTATTATCTGTATTATCTGAATTATCTGTATTATCTGTATTATCTGTATTATCTGTATTATCTGTTTTATCTGGATTATCTTAATTATCTGTATTATCTGTATTATCTGAATTATCTGTATTATCTGTTTTGTCTGTATTATCTGCATTATCTGAATTATCTTTATTATCTGTATTATCTGTATTATCTGTATTACATGGAGTATTATCTGCAGTATTATCTACATTATCCGTATTTTCTGTATTATAATTATTTGCATTATCTGTACGATCTGTATTTACATTTGTATTATCTTTATTATCTGTATTACAGTAGTATCTGTATTACAGTATTATCTGTTTTATCTCTATTATCTGTATTATCTGTATTATCTGTATTATTAGGATTATCTGTTATATCTGTATTATCTGTACTAACTGTATGATCTATATAATTTGTATTATCTGTATTATATGTATTATCTTTACTACTTATATTATCAGTATTATCTTTATTATCTTTATTATATGTAGTATCTGTACTACTTGTATTTTCTGTATTATCTGTATTATCTGTATTTTCTGTGTTATCTGTATTACTTGTATTATATGTATTTTCTGTGTTATCTGAATTACTTGTATTATCTGTATTATCTGTATTAATTGAATCTAAATTAAACCATGAACATGATTTATTTTAATAATTTGATGTTTTCAAAAAGTAAATTAAAGAAAATATTAAAATACTAAGCAAAAATATTCTAAATATTAATACAAATTCTTAGTTTTAAATCCTCTTTTAATTTAAAAACCTTTTTGTTAAAAAAATTATTATCTGATTAAATGTTGTGTTTTATTTAAACTGTTTATGTCTTAAAATATAATTTAACATTTTAGTATTATTTTACATCAATTTTTTCATCTAAATTTTGTTAAACAAATCTCACATATTAGTTTCATTCTGGGTGAAGACTGAGTTTGAAACTAAACAGGATTTTCATCTGACAGAGCGAACCTGATTCTTGACATAATATTCTGCACATTTATAATATAATAAAAAATAAGAAAATATTAAACATTTAAACATTTACTTAAATTTATTTAAATTGTATTAGATTTACGTAGGTTTCTATTTCAACCCATTCATAGTAGGTTCTTTTATGATAAGAATATAAAAAAGACATGTAATATTCAAAATGGAATGTATGGGTACAGGAATTTACGGGTACAGGAATGTATGGGTACAGGAATGTATGAGTCCAGGAATGTATGGGTACAGGAATGTCTGGGTACAGGAATGTCTGGGTACAGGAATGTATAGGTACAGGAATGTATGGGTACAGGAATGTATGGGTACAGGAATGTATGGGTATGGGTACAGGAATGTATGGGTACAGGAATGTATGGGTACTGGAATGTATGGGTACAGGAATGTATGGGTACTGTACAGGTATGTATGGGTACAGGAATGTATGGGTACAGAAATGTATGGGTACAGGAATGTATGGGTACAGGAATGTATGGGTACAGGAATGTATGGGTACAGGAATGTATGGGTATAGGAATGTATGGGTACAGGAATGTGAAAGGATTGGTTAGACCTTGGAGTTATGTTTTGCTAACACTGTTCATTATAAGTTTAATCACATGAGAGATTCTTCTATTAGTCATTTGTTATAAAAACTATCCAATGAGAACTTTAGGTAATTAAAATATGAAATTGATGAATTCTACCCTGAAAGACCCCCCCTCCCCCTCCATATCTACCCTATGCACCCCCTTCCTCCCAAACTTCTTTTTGTTGTTTACTGTTTAATGGCTGGTTTATATGCTTGTCTTACTGACTGCCGAATGGAGTCCGTATAATACAGGATGTACAATAAATAATGAATACAGGACTGCATTAATACAAGGTGTACCTTAGCATGCTGAGGAACTCTCGATCAAATTTAAATGTTTTCACAATGGATATCCAGATCAACCTATTGCTATTGGAAGCAATCGTCCTCTTCTCTGCAGTCATGTTTACAAATTCATTAAATTGATTTCATGAGTTTTTGTTCATTCTTCTCACTTTATATTTAGAGGAAGTTTTTATAGATATTTTTTTTGATTCAGATCGTTAAATTGTTGCAAGTCGTCCAGGAAGAGTTGTAACATTTTACAATCATATAAATACAAAATATTATTTGTTTTCCTACACAGGGTGTATCAGAATCTTTCATTTTGATGATACAGGGTGTATCGATAATCATCCTGTATGAGGGTTTCCCATTAAAATGAAACTTTAAATCGTAAAATTTCTTAAACATTTTAAAATAATTATGCAGTGTAGTTTAACCTATCACCCCATAATTTAGACATCTAAGGGAATATTCACAACTTTTGAAAGGGGTTCATAGGACAAACAATGATTTCAATTTGCTATTTTTGAGTTCATTTGATTTTTTTTCATTTTTGAACGTTTAAGAAAAACCAACAACTGCGGATCTCACAATCTTGTTTATTTCAAATATTGAATTTTTTTATTTGAATTTTTTTTGACACCTTGTATAAAGAGATAAAACGCTGTTTCTTGTTTTCAAGTTTGTGGCTTTGATGCCCATTTTTAAAAGACGGAAAATAAAGATTTTTACGATCCGTTTTATTACCCAGGGCCGGGGTTTCTACAGGATGAGTCAATTTATATTCTTTAATTCCTCGGATTGAGTAAATATCTGAATTCAGCGATGAAATGGGTTAATATTAAAACTCCAAAATGATCTGAAGTTGATTTGTTTTAATTTTTAATTTATTCGTGTTTTTCTATCTGCTCGAAAACTTGGTTTGGCGCGGATCGAGAAATTTTGAATTAAATGTAAAGTTTTTTGGCAATTAAATATACTTGAGGCCGAATTTAAAGAATTTGAGCCACGACTTAAATTTAAGCCGCGGCTCAAATATGGTTGGTTTTACTTAAAATTGTGTTAATTATTTCAAGATTCAAGCCGGCGCTCAATTAAAACCGGTTTGTGGGGGTTTTGAGACGCGGCTTAAATTCATAAATAAAACACGTTGATAATTCGGTGAAGGGAAACCTGGAGAGCTCATTATCTATCTAATATAATAGATTTATTTCATCTTCAAAGCTTTAACGAATACTTTTGAATTTATGAGTTAAACTATTTGAATTTAAGTTTGTCATGAAATTAATTAGTTTGTGAATTTTTTCCGATTTTTCATTGTTCAATTTCTTTAAAAATTTATCTTTTCATGGGCTAATCTCCAAACATTGATAAACATTGGTAACATAAACTGAATTCTTTTGGTTCATCAATGTCGAGCACCGTGGCTAGCATTAAAAATACTTAATTGTATGTAAAAATATTGACAGATATTTAAAAAAAAATTGGGAATTCAACATAACATTATAACAACAACAAAAGTATATGATGTAAGTATACACGAAGTAAAATATAATTGCAAAAATCTAAAAAAAGATTTAAATTATGATAACATTTTTTTTAATGTACAAAATTAACTTCAAAGGAACACGAGTGCAAAATATTTGTTGCATTTTGTATTTCTAAGATTATAAGAGACGTACTGCAGATTAGAGGGCTCAGTATGGACCGTTTTGTAATTAACATGTAATGGGGAATTATGAAGTGAGGGAGGGGGGCATAGGAAGTAACTCCGGATTTGGTTATAGGGGTCACTATATACACACAACCAAGGTTAAAAGTAATATTTTACTCGTAGACCAGAAACTAATATCTTAACAGTTTTTAGACAGATAATTTGGCTTTTCTACCCTTCTTGTTGTTTTTGTGAACATCCCCCGCCCCCTTCCCTCTTCAGTGTAATATTAATAAATCCGTATCCTTAAAGGCTTTTTTAATGCATTTAATTATTAATTCTTTGGCGTTTCGTTTTCCAAAACTTGATATTTTTTACTGTCCTAATTTAGAAAATGTAGAATGACTGGTGAACCTCGTGTAAAAAGTTATTTTGTTCATACTCAATTTTATTTGCTGATTTGTTTAAACTGTTTACAAATCAAATTCAAATATTTGTTTTGGGATTTTCTATCAGATGTTCTATTAAAGAATTAAATATTTTCAGGGGAATCTGTCACATCAGTGGGGGTAGTTGGGGTCAGGAGATGATCTTTCTATAAAAGTTGCAGTTTTTTTTGACACTTTTTGCATTTTTTATCGTTTCAAAATCAAAGTGCAAAAAAATTCGCAGCGTCTCTTAGTAATTTGCCAGATACAATATGCATCTATGCGATAAAATCCTTTGCACACCCTTCTGCAGTATTAACTAGGAATTTATAGAAGCTATCAAGATAGGATACTGCGAATAATTATGTTTATAAAGATGCAATTTGTTGGGATTCATGAGAGGGGAGGGAGGGAGGGAGGGAGGGAGGTCCTATAAAGTGAGAAAACAAATCAACTCAAATTTTGGTAAATATTAATTTCACAAAGATCTGTAGACTGTGTCTCCTGAACTGAAATATTTTTAAATCAATGTCAAAAATTGATATCTTTTCAATAAAAGTTAACATA